AGGTATTTATAATTAAGCAATAAGGCCAGAGGGTGTGTGGTATATGGCCAATATACCACAGCTAAGGGCTGTTCGTAGGCACGACGCAACGCTAATGGCTGTTCTTCTGCACGACGCAACCATGGAGTGCCTGGATACAGCCCTTAGCCATGGTATATTGGTCATATACAGTATCACAAACCCCCAAGGTGCCTTATTGCTATTATAAACCGGTTACCAACGTAATTAGAGCAGTAAAAATAAAGGTTTTGTCATACCCGTGATATACCACGGCTTTCAGCCAATCAGCATGCAGGGCTCGAACCACCCAGTTGTAACACTCTGGCTCTATGGACGTTGATTTTGAGCCAGGGTTGTTCATTTTTCTTTTGGGTGTATTTCATTTGGTGGTGTTGGGTAGGGGTGAGTTTCATTTGTTTGTGTTTTTGGTAATTTGGTTATTGACTCCCAATCGGAGGTAACGAGTGTCAGCTGTTCGGCTCGTTATCTCTGATTGGGAGCCATATATATTCTGTGTGTTTTCACCTTGTGGTTGTGGGTTATTGTTTCTTTGTTGCTGTTAGTAGTATTTCAGTATAGAACTTCACGGATCGTATTTTGTTGTTTTCTTCGTGGTTGCTTTAAGTTAATAAAGTCATCATGTTCACTCGCAACGCTGCGCATTGGTCCAATCCTTCAGACGATCGTGACAGAATAACCCACCACAAGAGGACCAAGCGGCATAACAAGCGGCAACAGGACCTACCTACGCAGGATGTATGGACGCCTCCTAAGGATTTTGGACTTGGGAGGAGATTCGGGCTGGAAAGGGTCCTTGGGCACTACCGGAGGAAGATCACCGCCCTCGTGAAGAGCTGGAGGCAGCTGCAGCCGAGAGGAGGTGGTATGAGGAGGAATATCACCGCCCTCGTGAAGAGCTGGAGGCAGCTGCAGCCGAGAGGAGGTGGTACGAAGAGGAAGCGCGGAGTCGAGGCTGGAAGCCCGTGGTTACTCCCCAAAAAATTTTTGGGGGGGGGCACATGGCTTGGGCGCCTGGGCAGCAGGAGGCTGCCACGGGTAGAGCTGGAGAGAAGGCTATCGGATTACGGGAGCCATTGGCGAGTAGAGGGAGGGAAGTTGTTGTGGCACGGCATGAGAGACTGAAGTGTGTTCCCAGTCTGGTCCGGTCCGTTCTTGATCCCCAGTTAAGGCCAGTGGTGGGTGTTCCCGGTACGGGCCGGTCTGTTCCTACTCCACGCACCAGGTCCACGATGTGCGTCGCCAGCCGGCCAGAGTCTGCCGTCTGCCCTAGGGCATCTGAACTGCCCGTCTGCCAAGCGCTGCATAAGCCGCCCGTCTGTACTGAGCTTGCAAAGCCGTCCGTCTGCCATGAGCCTGCAGAGCCGTCCGCCAGACAGAATCAGACACCTGCTATGGAATCAGCAGGAGCCGACGCAGCCCATACTAGACTGGAAGCTCAGGTTCGGAACCAGAAAGAGCAGATCCTGCAGATGGGAGCTGCCCTGCTGGAGGTGATGACTGCTATCCGAGGCTGGGGTCCGCCTCCACCGCCAGCCTCCCAGCCAGCACCATCAGCCAGCCATGAGCAGCCAGATCTGTCAGCCAGCCATGAGCAGCCAGACCCGTCAGCCAGCCATGAGCAGCCAGATCCGTCAGCCAGCCATGAGCAGCCAGACCCGTCAGCCAGCCATGAGCAGCCAGATCCGTCAGCCAGCCATGAGCAGCCAGATCCGTCAGCCAGCCATGAGCAGCCAGATCCGTCAGCCAGCCATGAGCAGCCAGATCCGTCAGCCAGCCATGAGCAGCCAGATCCGTCAGCCAGCCATGAGCAGCCAGATCCGTCAGCCAGCCATGAGCAGCCAGATCCGTCAGCCAGCCATGAGCAGCCAGATCCGTCAGCCAGCCATGAGCAGCCAGACCCGTCAGCCAGCCAGGATCCGCCAGAGCTGGCCAGCCAGGATCCGCCAGAGCCGGTCAGCCCGGATCCGCCAGAGCCGTCCCGCCAGGATCCGCCAGAGCGTCCAGCCAGGATCAGCCAGAGCCGGCCAGCCAGGATCCGCCAGAGCCGGTCAGCCCGGATCCGCCAGAGCCGTCCCGCCAGGATCCGCCAGAGCCGTCCAGCCAGGATCAGCCAGAGCCGGCCAGCCAGGATCCGCCAGAGCCGGTCAGCCCGGATCCGCCAGAGCCGTCCCGCCAGGATCCGCCAGAGCCGTCCAGCCTGGATCCGCCAGAGCCGTCCCGCCAGGATCCGCCAGAGCCGTCCAGCCTGGATCCGCCAGAGCCGTCCAGCCTGGATCCGCCAGAGCCGTCCCGCCAGGATCCGCCAGAGCCGTCCAGCCAGGATCCGCCAGAGCCGTCCAGCCAGGATCCGCCAGAGCCGGCCCGCCAGGATCCGCCAGAGCCGTCCCGCCAGGATCCGCCAGAGCCGTCCCGCCAGGATCCGCCAGAGCCGTCCAGCCTGGATCCGCCAGAGCCGTCCCGCCAGGATCCGCCAGAGACGTCCCGCCAGGATCCGCCAGAGCCGTCCCGCCAGGATCCGCCAGAGCCAGCCAGCCAGGATCCGCCATCTAGTCAGGTGCTGCCCCTTAGCCCGGTGCTGCCCTTTAGCCCGGTGCTGCCCCTTAGTCCGGTGCTGCCCCTGAGTCCGGTGCCGCCCCTTAGCCCGGTGCTGCCCCGTAGTCCGGTACTGCCCCTTAGTCCGGTGCTGCCCCTTAGTCCGGTACTGCCCTTTAGCCCGGTGCTGCCCCGTAGTCCGGTGCTGCCCCTTGTCCCGGTGCTGCCCCTTATCCCGGTGCTGCCCCTTATCCCGGTGCTGCCCCTTAGGCCGATGCTGCCCCTTAGTCCGGGGTTGCCCCTTAGTCCAGGTGGGGTTAGGTGGAGGGTGGTCATTGGGAGGAGGCTACCGAAGCAGGTTGTGACTGTGGTGGGGTGGGGATCACGACCGGGGCCAGAGCCACCACCATGGACAGACGCCCACCCAGACCCTCCCCTAGTCCTGATGTTGGTGCGCCCGGAGTTCGCACCTTTAGGGGGGGGTACTGTAACACTCTGGCTCTATGGACGTTGATTTTGAGCCAGGGTTGTTCATTTTTCTTTTGGGTGTATTTCATTTGGTGGTGTTGGGTAGGGGTGAGTTTCATTTGTTTGTGTTTTTGGTAATTTGGTTATTGACTCCCAATCGGAGGTAACGAGTGTCAGCTGTTCGGCTCGTTATCTCTGATTGGGAGCCATATATATTCTGTGTGTTTTCACCTTGTGGTTGTGGGTTATTGTTTCTTTGTTGCTGTTAGTAGTATTTCAGTATAGAACTTCACGGATCGTATTTTGTTGTTTTCTTCGTGGTTGCTTTAAGTTAATAAAGTCATCATGTTCACTCGCAACGCTGCGCATTGGTCCAATCCTTCAGACGATCGTGACACCAGTTTATAATATCATACAGCCTAGTGTATATACACATGTCAAATATTACTGTCCACTACAGTAAATTAATTTTATGCTGAGTGGGTCATTCTCACCTAATAGTTCATAGAAGTAGTTGAGGATGTTCTCCCACTCATCTCCTGCTTCCTTCCCAGCAGCTTAGCAAAATGAGAGCAGCTGCTGTACAGGTGCAAATGGTCAATGCAGTCAAGGACCAAACCAACGACCTCCTGAGAGAAAGAGATATCAAGTGATGAAATAGCATATTTCAGAACAAAAACATCCCTCAACCATACAAATACAGAAAACGTATTTTGTCGTGCCACTTCTGGGGACAGTAGATTCAAGGCTAAATAAGTCACCATTACCTCCTCTGTTCTTCAGCGCTCGCACACTGTTCTGCCTGGCCTCATGTCCTAGCCCCTCCCCAGGTGTCTGGAAGTAGCCAATCAGATCCTGCAGACTCAGGCCCACAGTCTCTACTGGCAGGTTGAAAGAGGGAATGTTCCCCTGCTGACTGAGACCATCAAGTCTCCTAAAAACAGGAGAGAAGATTGACAACATTCAATCAACCATTTCTGCATATCCATATTTATAGATTTTTGTCCAGGCCTTGATAATATGAGCACAAATGTTCACAAACTACACAATGGCTCAATCATTTACACTCTTCACTCAACCAATCACACTGTTACCTCAGCTAAATCCCTCTCTGTGGGAACCCAGTTAGCCAGGTTTCCCAGAGGGCTGTGTGGTGGCCTATCTGATGAAGTGTGTGAAGAGGAGGACGGTGCTGCGGATGAGTCTGGTTGTTGGGCTCAGAACGTCATCCATGTGACACCCACTGTGCATTATGGCCAAGAGAAAAGGTCATGGGACAATGTGACAACAAAACACAATGAAGTACACAGTACACACAAAAAGTCAACAAATTAAAGATGGGCAAAATAAGCATATGTCCAAGTAATGACTCAAATACTGAGTAAGCGTACAGTGTAATGAAGTTCAGCAGAACTGAGTACTGGAAAAATACATTCTATTACCTTACGCTGCACCCCTCCCAAGCGGGCAAACTTGGCATCGATGGCTTCAAATAAAATTTTATTTGCCACATGCGCCGAATACAACAGTGAACAGTGAAATGCTTACTTACAAGCCCTTAACCAACAATGCAGTTTTAAGAAAAATACGTGTTAAGTAAAAAATAGATAAGTACAAAATAAATAAATAAAATAATGAAAGAGCAGCAGTAAAATAAATTAACAGTAGTGAGGCTATATACAGGGGGTACCGGTACAGAGTCAATGTGCGGGGGCACAGGTTAGTCGAGGTAATTGAGGTAAGCATTTAAATAATCAAAATACTTGTTGGTGTTTGAGATGTGTATGGGTGTGACTGCTCCTCCCCCTGCTCTGTAGACGGGACAGTCAGACACTCCCCTGTGTGTCAATGCTGTAGCTCAACGTGTCCCCGCCCTTCAGATACACTACTATATCCCACAGACATTCCCAAAATGACAGCAGTTGCATTTTGTCCTTGACCGATAGGTTGTGTTCTCTGTAATGACAGAAAGAGGCAACCTGCCTTGAGCAACTCCACTCCCGGAGAAGATGGAGGTGACACTCCAGAGGGTCTGCTGGAAGGCTGCGTCCACAATAAAACTAGGACAATAGGACAAATTATGCATAAAAACAACCAAGACAAGAGCCTTAACAAGATCATGACAGTGATGGAGGATAAAGAGACAGATTATCAGGATAAAAAGGATTTCACATAATGGAAACTGTTTTTAAATAAACCATCCATATAGTGGCTGTTATTATTGTGGGGTCTATATCAGACACTATTGAAGCTTATTCTAATATTATCACGCTAACTACTTCTCTCCTCTTCGAAGGTTACCTTCGTTGTCTGCCTTGCATGTCATGTCACTGTATCTCTTCATGTACTTCTCTGATCACTCACCAGGTATCTCTCAGATGTCACACTGACCATTATGAGGTCGTCCCCGACACGGACCTTCTCCCCCTTTGACCTCTGCTTGGAGGCAGGGTGAATAGTCCACCAGCATGCCTCACCTGGTCACAGGTAATTTGGTTGATTGCCAGCACAGAGGACATACTACTCATACGCCTACAGAAATTATATATAAACATCATCAAAACTAATATCTAAACATCAGCAAAACTTTCTGATGTTCCATCGAGCATTTGAACACATCTTTAAAATGATGCAAAATACCTGTTTTATCATCCTGCAGGCCAACATCAAATGCTATCTTATCTGTCGAAGACTGGGTTGTGGACAAACAAAGATACTGAAGAAGGAGAAGAAAACATAGGAATATCCATTTAAACATTGAACAACCCCTTATGACAGGAATAAATGGCATAATCAATCAAATGACTGCCCTAATGAGATTGATACAACCAAATGACAAGTCTTAGTTATTGAGAGAGACACTGTGATTGATTGAGAACACTCACCATCCTGTTGTAGGAGTGTAGGAGAAGTGCAACTTGACCGTAGAGGAGGGTGCGATGACCACCTCCCTGTCCAGCCTGCACAACACAACATAACTAGGGATCTTTATTCTAACAAAACCATGACTTCATCTAAGTCCATTATAGTGAGGCAGCATATCATATTGGAATGAGACCCAAGCTGTTAGCTCAACCCTGCTGCTTGGTTCTCTCTGTTAGCCAGCATCTCCTGCAGAGCTCTGACAGACAGACACTGGGCCAGCACAAAGGCACACACCGACAAGTCTGGAGAAACATTCTGGGGAACACAGTGCACACATTTCAGATTAATCAGTCTCTTATCAATCCTCTGATCTGGCATCCTCTGATTCCAAAGATCATGCTGTGGGATGAAGCTTTACCTTGCAACTGGAGGTGGACTCCAGACAGCAGAATCTGCAACCAAAGCCCTCTGCAGCCAGACACAGCTTCAGATGCTCTAGCTGGGACATAAAGATGCACTGCAGGACCACCTCATCATTCTGACAGAGGCAGGGGCACAGACCACATGGCTGTTACTAAAATATTGTGAGCAAGTTGTTTTCACCTGAAATCAGAATGTATTTAATACAGTAAAACTAACTTAGACACAGCGTTTATTTCATCAACAGAAAATGTGACAAAAATATTAGTTAAACACCTATTTTTCAGTTGCAATTGAGAAGACTATAACTGACTAAATAGACCCAGAAAAAACTATAACTAAATAAAAATGATTTTCATTTCAGTTGGCTAAAACGAGATGAGACTAAATTATTTCTGTGACTAAAATCTGACTACTAAGTGGACTGGACAATAGTTTTTGGAGAGATTGAGAGTTTTTCAGTGATAAGCACAATTAATATCAGCAGCAAATCAAATCAAATCAGATTAACAGTGAAACGCTTACTTACGGGCCCTCCCCAACAATGCAGAGAGAAAGAAAATTGAGAAATAATAGAAAAGTAAAACATGTAATAAGAAAAGTAATAATAAATACACGATGAGTAATGATAACTTGGCTATATACACGGGATACCAGTACCGAGTCAATGTGAAGGGGTACGAGGTAATTGAGGTAGATATAGGTTAAACCATTTTGTTTATAAAATCTTACAACAGAAAAAAGGTAGATGTACATATAACTAGAAATAAAGTGACATATAAAACAGTAGCAGCATATGTGATGAGTCAAAAAAGCTATTGCAAAAAAGGTCAATGCATATAGTGTGGGTAGCTATTTGCATGAGGCAAACGGTGGTCACACCAGATACTGACTGGTTTTCTGATCCACGCCCATTACTTTTTTTTAAGGTACAATATCTGTTACCAACAGATGCATATCTGTATTCCCAGTCATGTGAAATCCATAGACTACGGCCTAATTCTCTTTTTTTCAATTTACAAATGTTCTTATATGAACTGTAACTCAGTAAAATCTTTGACAGTGTTGCATGTTGCGTTTATATTTTTGTTCAGTGTAGGTTGAATACAAATGAGGCAATACAAATGCGATGTGACTCAAATGTGACTCAAATGAAAGGGCATTTAGTTGACTATAATGACTCACTGTTTTCGTCATTTTGACAATAACTAGACTAAATCATTATTCAAATGACAAAAATGTGACTAAGAGTTAATTATATTTTTGTCAAAATGACTAAGACTAGACGAAATCTAAAAAAGAGTGCCAAAATGAACACTGCTTAGATAGGACTTCAACATTGTAGCAATAAGTCCTTAACTCCTTTATAAAGTGCACACCGAGGGAGTCAGGTCACAGCCATATAAGGAGCAGCCACGCTGGAACACCTCTCAGTGACCAGGGCATGATGCCACTGTGGTGTCTGACCCCTCCCTCACCCTCCATTTCACCCTATTATGAGCAGCCTCTGGACTTTATGAGTCACACTGCACAGTAGAACAACTTAGGGACCTAACTGAGTAAGGAATAGGCCTCAGAGCTGGCTGGGGTCAAGAATGTCATTTCCACTCAGGCCATACATTTAAAATTGTCAATATCCCATGAGATTTGAAAGGTTTTGAATTGTTACTGAGCTCAATCTTGCATTGTAGAGTTAAGTCAGAGCAGGGCAGAAGGGCTAACTTGGCCCATCGCAAGTTCTTTACGAGCAGAGATAAGGGCCACAGCAAAATTAACTGCAAACTTAGTTTCAGATATTTCTAGTGTAGGCTGAGAGACCAAAATGCCTGAACCAGTACCTGTCACCACAGCCCTTAACAGTCAACCTAAGCATGTGACTGTCCAGCATCAGCCAACACTCCACCAGTGACATGTCTTTATCAGAGGGCTGAGATACCAAGCCGTGAGAGGAGGACTCACAACCACAGAGAATGATAGGCCTCCATTATCTCAGTAGTGATAATACAATTAAACACAGAAAAAAATGAAATAAACTAATATTTCTACAGAAGTTGGCTAATGTTTCTTTAGAGTTTGGAAGAAAAGTCAGCAAGTCATTTTCCAGAGTGACTAAAGAAAAGGGATAAATGAGTGGCTCTCCTGAGTGGCGCAGTGGTCTAAGGCACTGCATCGCAGTGCTAACTGTGCCACTAGATCCTGGTTCGAATCCAGGCTCTGCCGCGACCGGGAGACTCATGGGCGGCGCACAATTGGCCCAGCGTCGTCCAGGGTAGGGGAGGGAATGGCCGGCAGGGATGTAGCTCAGTTGATAGAGCATGGCGTTTGCAACGCCAGGGTTGTGGGTTAGTTTCCAACGGGGGGCCAGTATAAAAAAATACATAAAAATGTATTTAATAACTGTAAGTCGCTCTGGATAAGAGCGTCTGCTAAATGACTAAAATGTAAATAAATGGCTGTTGTTATTCGCTCAAATGAGAGGAGAGCAATAGAGAGAGTAAAAATTATGTAATTTACTGTCTTTCCTTAGCAAATAAAAACATGACATGGTAGCCTACAAACAGTAAGTTTTAAAGGATCAGTGCAGTCAAAAACATGTTTTTCCTGTGTTTTATATATATTTCCACACTATGAGGTTGGAATAATACTGTGAACTTGTGAAAATTATGATAATACTGTTTTAGTGTCAGAGCTGTTTGAAAGAACCTGACATTTCAGCCTGTTTTGGTGGGATAACATAAACAGGCAGTAAATTAGTTAATAAAACAATAACAAATAGAGTTCCAAATCTCTCTGCTAATAACAGCTATAATTTTTAGTTTCCCCCTTCCCACTCAGACCACTCCCAAACAGTCCTAGCAAAATTCTTGCTTGAGGAATTGCTCTTTGTTACGAAACTATTTTTGTAGATTTGTGATCATTTTAATTTAAAACAATCAAGGTAAGGTACTTAATTGTTACCCAATTTTTTTTTGATATTGAGATACAAACGGCTGCATTGGACATTTAAAGACAAGTAATAGCCATTCAACACAGCCTAGTAACTTGCATATACTGTAGACAAAATTGAAACAGTTTCATATTCTACTCTAAACTCTCTATCATGAAAACAAAGGTTTGGCTTTTGTTATTTTTTATAAGTAACTTTCAAAAGAGTGTGTGACTGTGGGAAAAAGTGAACAAGTAAAATAGCACGTACTATTATACACCTCACCATTGTGGACGAAAGTATCAGTGATTATTTTACAGAAGCCTACTGTAAACTGTTATTTTTCTGGCTACTGTATCGATACCCTACATAGCAGCTGCGGCACGCAACCTTACTTTCCCGCCAATGCCACCACCTGTGTTAAATTCTCAGTAGCATTACCCTACGTAGAAATTTTATTTTATCTTCGCTTTCTCCCGATTCAGCCATGTCTGAAAATGTAAAACAGTTCACTGTCTTGTAGAAAGGATAGTTGAAAATAATATGTTAGATGGACTGACTCTCATTGGGTGGCTCCTTGTCATTTTGACCCAGCGCCCACTTGGCAGGTAAAACTAGGCTACAGTCGACCATTTGTCCACAACCACGCACATGCATTGACCAACCTGGGCAATTCCGTGCATAAAAGTGCAATTTGCAACATTTACTGTTGCTCAATGGTTTCGCTACCCATTTTCTTGCAGAACATAAAAATGCCTCAGTGTCAAAGGGCACAATGTCTCACAGCCAAGGGAGGTGACAGGACAGGTATCGTACAATAATAGCACAGGAGGCAAGACGATTTATTGAATAAATGTGCAAAGTAGGCCTAATTAATGAGACTTGAGACAGCAAAAGTCTCCACTTTAAATATTATTAAAAAATATATATTATTAATATTCTTTGGAACGCTACTCCTCTTACACTGTTTATGCTAGAAACGCCATTTAAACTATAAAACGTGCAGACCGGTCTGGAATAGTGTGATATTATACAGCTTTTTGATAACATTTATACTTTTAAAAATATGACACTTTTTTATCTTCTAAAAAACCTCATCCACTTTAATGGCATTTCTTCAACATTCTAAAGCTCACATTGTTATAAACTCCCATGACTTCCAACATTCTATTCACAGTAAACAACATACGTTTTGACACAAATCAGCTACTTTGACAACTTTACCAACAAGTTAGACAAAAAACTCAGAGCATATAAAATCTTAATTTACTTCTCCACTATTCAAATCTGAAATCAGAACAGAAATATATTATACCAATAAAACGATATAGCTGTTTTAGTAACAACATCAACAACATTTTCTGTCAACTTTTACAAACGACTGACATTTTGACCACTTTCCCAGCACTTGAGACAATAACTTAGAGGGTATGACATCTTGGTCTGCTTCTCTGCTATTCAAATCTGAAATCAGAATAGAAATACACGATATATACATAAGTATGTGGACACCCCTTCAAATTAGTGGATTTGGCTATTTCAGCCACACCCGTTGCTGACAGGTGTACACTACTGGTCAAAAGTTTTAGAACACCTACTCTTTCAAGGGTTTTTCTTTATTTTTACTATTTTCTACATTGTAGAATAATAGTAAAGACATCAAAACTATGAAATAACACATATGGAATCATGCAGTAACCCAAACAGTGTTAAACAAATCAAAATATATTTTATATTTGAAATTCTTCAAATAGCCACCCTTTGCCTTGATGACAGCTTTGCACACTCTTGGCATTCTCTCAACCAGCTTCATGAGGTAGTCAACTGGAATCCATTTCAATTAACAGGTGTGCTTTCTTAAAAGTTCATTTGTGGAATTTCTTTCCTTCTTTATGCGTTTCAGCCAATCAGTTGTGTTGTGACAAGGTAGGGTTGGGATATACAGAAGATAGCCCTATTTGGTAAAAGACCAAGTTCATATTATGGCAAGAACATTTAAAATAAGCAAAGAGAAACGACAGTCCATCATTACTTTAAGACATGAAGGTCAGTCAATCCGGAAAATGTCAAGTAGTTTAAATAAATCACAGACAGTGTCACCAGCAAAGCACCCCCAAACCATAACACCTCCTCCTCCATGCATTAAGGTGGGAAATACACATGTGGAGATCATCCGTTCACCCACACTGCGGATTTTCCGGATTGACTGACCTTCATGTCTTAAAGTAATGATGGACTGTCGTTTCTCTTTGCTTATTTGAAATGTTCTTGCCATAATATGGACTTGGTCTTTTACCAAATAGGGCTATCTTCTGTATACCCCAACCCTACCTTGTCACAACACAACTGATTGGCTGAAATGCATAAAGAAGGAAAGAAATTCCACAAATGAACTTTTAAGAAAGCACACCTGTTAATTGAAATGGATTCCAGTTGACTACCTCATGAAGCTGGTTGAGAGAATGCCAAGAGTGTGCAAAGCTGTCATCAAGGCAAAGGGTGGCTATTTGAAGAATTTCAAATATAAAATATATTTTGATTTGTTTAACACTGTTTTGGTTACTACATGATTCCATATGTGTTATTTCATAGTTTTGATGTCTTTACTATTATTCTACAATGTAGAAAATAGTAAAAATAAAGAAAAACCCTTGAATGAGTAGGTGTTCTAAAACTTTTGACCGGTAGTGTATAAAATTGAGCACACAGCCATGCATTCTCCATAGACAAACATTGGCAGTAGAATGGCCTTTCTGAAGAGCTCAGTGACTTTCAACATGGCACCGTCATAGTATGCCACCTTTCCAACAAGTCAGTTCGTCAAATCTTGGCCCTTCTAGAGCTGCCCTGGTCAACTGTAAGTGCTGTTATTGTGAAGTGGAAATGTTTAGGAGCAACAACTGCTCAGCAGCAAAGTGGTAGGCCACACAAGCTCACAGAATGGGACAACTGAAGCGAATGGTACGTAAAAATCGTCTGTCCGCGGTTGCAACACTCACTACCGCGTTCCAAACTGTTTTTGGAAGCAACGTCAACACAAGAACTGTTCGTCGGGAGCTTCATGTAATGGATTTCCATGGCCGAGCAGCCGTACACAAGCCTAAATCACCATGTGCAATGCAAAGCGTCGGCTGGAGTAGTGTTAAGCTTGCCGCCATTGGACTCTGGAGCAGTGGAAACCTGTTCTCTGGAGGGATGAATCACGCTTCACCATCAGGCATTCCAACGGATGAATCTGGGTTTGGCGGATGCCAGAAAAACGCTACTGGCCCGGATGCATAGTGCAAACTGTAAAGTTTGGTGGAGGATGAATAATGGTCTGGGGCTGTTTTTCATGGTTCGGGCTAGGCCCCTTATTTCCAGAAGGAAATCTTAACGCTACAGCATACAATGAAATTCTAGACGATTCTGTGCTTCCAACTTTGTGGCAACAGTTTGGGGAAGGCCATTTGCTGTTTCAGCATGACAATGCCCCCATACACAAAGTGAGGTCCATACAGAAATGGTTTGTCGAGATCGGTGTGGAAGAACTTGACTGGCCTGCACAGTGCCCTGACCTCAACCCCATCGAACACCTTTCTGATGAATTGTAACACCGACTGTGAGCCAGGCCTAATCGCCCAACATCAGTACCCGACCTCACTAATGCGCTTGTGGCTGATTGGAAGCAACTCCCCGCAGCAATGTTCAAACATCTAGTGGAAAGCCTTCCAAGAAGAGCGGGGGCTGTTATCCTCTACGGGATCGGTGTCCTGTGTACGGAACGGTTGAGCTAACGTGCGCTAATGTGATTAGCATGACTGTGGTAAGTAACAGCAAACTTTCCAGGACATAAACATGTCTTATATGGGCAGAAAGCTTAAATTCTTGTTAATCTAACTGCACTGTCCAATTTACGGTAGCTATTACAGTGAAAAAAGACCATGCTATTGTTTGAGGAGAGTGCAAAACAAAAACAAAACGTATCACGGCAACTGGTTTGATACATTCATCTCTGAAGGTAAATAACGTACTTACATTCAGTCATTTTGCTCTGATTTGTCATCCTAAGGGTCCCAGAGACAAAATGTAGCATAGTTCTGTTTGATCAAATCAATGTTTATATTCAAATGTAAGAAATGGGTTCTACAGTTTCAACCCCTGCTGTCTCTGGCTCCACACCCACCCCACCCGGCCATCTAGATGTGTGAAAGTTAGTGTATAAGCTAATGATCCATCATGTATGACATTCCTGGGAGTGTGTAAACTTACATTTTGTATTACCATATCATTTTTGTATGTTCTCTATAGTTATGTACTTGAAAATATATCAATTGACCAATTCGGCACATTTGGGCAGACTTGATACAAAAACGTATAGTATAGCAACGCTTCACTGGATCAATCTGAAACTTTGCACACACACTGCTACGATCTAGTGGCCAAAATCTAGATTGCGCCTAAACTGCAATGTTATCTTGTGGCCTTTCTCTTGCATTTCAAAGATGATGAAACAAACAAATAAATAGAAAACGCATGTGTTTTGTTTGTATTACCTTTTACCAGATCTAATATGTTATATTCTCCTACATTAATTTCACATTTACACAAACTTCAAAGTGTTTCCTTTCAAATGGTATCAAGAATATGCATATCCTTGCTTCAGGTCCTGAGCTAAAGGCAGTTAGATTTGGGTATGTCATTTTAGTCCAAAATTGAAAAGAAGGGTCTGATCCTAAAGAGGTTAAAGCAGCAAAGGGGGGACCAACTCCATATTAATGCCCTTGATTTTGGAATGAGAAATTACTGTTCCAAAAGGAATATTTTTATGAAGAAATGCTTTTCCTCAGATCTTTACCTAACGGTGGCACTCTAAACATGCGCAATTTCCCATTGGAACACAGCCATTATAAAAGTGTAGGGCTTGTGCAACGTGCCATACCTTCTTTTCCATCTTACAGGAATGATATAAATTACATATGAGGAGAAAGCTGAAGTTTCTACCTATCCATTGATGTAAATATCCTCTGTCTGATTCCCAGTTTATCCACTAGATGGCAGTAGGAGATCACATGACATCTTTTGGCCATTTGAAACCAGTTGCATCTGGTTTGCGTAGTGAGTCACTGAACAGATTTTCAAGCCTGACATCTTAAAATGACCTTAGCAATCAGGGATTTCAAGTTCAACTAGCTCACACAGTCTCACGTCAGGATAGACGTTCATCCATGTTTCTCAAATGTCAAATTTCGAAGTTGTTGCAAACGTAAAATGTTGAAGTGTTTAAGGTTAAGTTTAGGCTTAACTATACTTTTTTAAGGTTAAGGTTAAGTTTAGGCATTAAGTCAGAAATCTTTAGGTTAGACATTAACTCCGAATGGTTAAGGTAAGGGTTAAGGTTTGGGATAGGCTTAAAACAAAAATCTCAAAAACAACTTTGGATTCGAACTTGCAAAGACTTCCAAAAGACATCGGTGTCGTTCTGCACTTAGTGGGAACTGACTTAAATACACCTCTTTGTCAGGAAGCCCACACTTGTGGAATATATGCCTACTATTCCCATATATAAACAGGTGGCGTCAGGTAACTAGGCTACGTTATCCCCACTTTTGTCCTACGTGACCATTTTGGCACAAAACGGCGCAAAATACCCTGTCTGGGCTCATAATCACACTCATACAGTAGCCTTTGACTACAGGAATGCTACCATTGAGAGCCCTTGCCCTGCCAATCTTATCAAATGTAGGACATTCACATCGGATTTTGCAGAACGTTTTTATTTGATTACTGTATATCCATGTTTGAATTGTGACTGTCATTTTCACTTTCGTATAGCCCACTTTAATCAACTATAATGAAAATAAATATGGCTTTTACAGTTTAGGCCTATAGAATAGAAAAACCCAATGTTGTATTTAACTGCCCTCTTTTAATATGTAAAGAAAAATGAACATCAGTGATGATCAAGAAGAGGGTTTATTGGATAATCAAATCACTTGAAAGTACAAAGTTTACTGTCAACAGTGTCTAAATCAGTCACAATTTTTTTTTTGTTTTGGATTGAATAGTACAGGGATTCTCTCCTCCCTCCCTATCTTCAACTGGGAAATCCCAACTACAGGTGGCAGGCTATGAGAGACAGGCTTAACCCTATTTGAGGTTTGATACAAAGTATGTAGGAATTTTATAGGATTTAAGGCAATAAGCAGTATCATCAGAGGCAAAGTTGTTCATTTTGGTGCGACCAAACTCCTTTAGTTCTCAAATAAGAAAATGTAACAATGTTTTCTCTTAGCTTTGGGTTTGAGAAAGGTACATTGTGTGTCAACTGTGCAACCTATTGTTTTATCAATCAATCATAGCCTATAACTGTTCTTTATTTATATTGGGGAAATTGTGATGTGAGAAAAGTTTGCATAGAGCAGGCAACATGTGCTATGATTATATAACAAGTACATTTTGGTTCCATAAACAACATCACACTGGACACAGACATCAGTTCAACATCTAGGTTTGCTTTTTTGGCTTTTTCCCAATCAGAACTCATACAGTAGTTCCTAATAAGGCACTGAAAGGAGATAAGGAGAAAATGTTGACTATTAGCCTGCTATTTTTCTGTTCTAGCTACACTGCTGCTATTACTGTAGTCAATAAACAAACAATGTTCTATATAGCTAACTATTGTAGCTTATATGATCATGTTATTTTTCTTAGCAGATAAGAAAAACTGTTATTCCATCTTCACTTCACCGCAGAACTCAAATGAGGGAAACTATTTTGCCACACAATAGTAGGTAAATGTACTATATCTACCTAATGTGAATCTAACGTAGGTAACTTTGCCTTGCTTTTACAGTGTGTTTGGTTAAAGGTGATTTCATCCAGAAGTGTTGGGTGGAGTCAAAAGGTCACTCTTGGGCATCATCTTGCAGGGTTAGAGGTCACTCTCTCCATAGAGGGCAGTGGAGAAGGCGGTGTAGTCTAGCGCCCCTGCAGATTTCCCTGGGCCACTGTAGTGGGGCATCCTCAAGATGCAGTACTCTGCCTGATCAGGGGGGAGCTCCCTCCTCAGATCCTCAACCAGAATGTAGGGCTGTGGAGGGGGGAGAAAAATTTAGAGAACACGGGCTCATTTAGGTAAGTCCGCTCTAGCAAATATTCATAATCTGACCGAATAATATGCATGTTGACATTGTACTGAATCTGCCCCTTCTGTGTGATTGACATGGTCCACTCAGTTGTCACACTCCCATTCACTTTCTCTCTCTCACACACACCTTATCGGCTGCCAGGATCCTGAAGGATGCCACAACCTGCTCGGCGGTGTCCATGTCAGCGGTTTCTCTGGTCATAAAATCGATAAAGGATTGAAAAGACACCATGCCAGTGGCACTGGGATCAACCAGCATCATGATGCGGGCAAATTCCACTTCACCCTGACAGACAGTCACACAGACAGTCACACAGAGAGAGAGAGAGAGAGAGAGAGAGAGAGAGAGAGATCAGAGAGAGATCAGAGAAAGGAGCACTGATGTCTTTGTTCGTTGTTGCGTCATTACACATTGAATATTATCAATACCTCTTGCTATTAGTATGTATGCATTGTTTGCATACTGTAATTCTGCATGAGAACATTGCGACCCCTACCAAATCATAACCCATGGAGATCAGACAGGCCCTAAAGTCATCAGTGTCCATCGCCCCATGTTTCTTCTGTAGTCGGAGGTCAAGGGTGGAGGTTGGGAGTGGGTCACCACACAGGGAGGGGATGGGATAGAGAGGAGGGACAACAAGAGGAGGTGGACGGTAGAGCAGTGGAGATCCGGAAGGGGAGAAGACCAAAGCTAACACAGAAACATGGACACATACACACAACCAGACAGATGGACAGTGACACAGACAGTAACAACAGAAGACATGGAGAGAGAGATGAGAAGTTACTAAATTAACTGTCATCACAGACCAAAGCTGCTGCCACCAACATCGCCATGCCGTAGTGTATTATTTAGAGCCCACTATTAAAATATAGATAGAACTGGAAAAATATGCGCGGTAGCAGCAGGTTTGGTCTGTTCTAGAAGGAATGGAAGAAGCCTAAGTCGTCAACGAGAGTCAGTCAGGGATCATGAAATGTTAGAGGTCAGTAGGGGTGAGTACCTGATGGTCATTGCCCACATAACCCAGGCTGATCAGACAGGTCTTGAACTCCTCACGACGCAGTTTGCCTGTGTTCTCCTGGGACCAGGTGTTAGAGCGGATGTCACACACACACACACACACATGCAAGTGTCCACTGTCCATAACACGCAGCATTACAACAATGTGGAACCAATATAAAAAATACTTGTTTATAGATCTATACATTACACTATCATACAATTGTATTTGTATTATATGTTTTAACTGTCTAGACAACCAAGCCCACAGAGCAGTGACTGTTCTAGTACAGTATCAACAACAATATATTACCCCAGTTTCCTTACACAGCTTCTGAATAAGATAGGCAAGACGGTGAATTATTATTTTTTGTCAGTGGTATTATGCTACTTAACATTATTATATGAGTCTGAGAACCGGGAGTCCAGAGTGTGGATAGAGCACTGTACCCGGTCAAAATGGTTGAAGGAGGAGCGGAACTCGTGCATCTGTTCCTGGCTGATGCCCTTGGCATCGCGTGTCAGGATCTGGGTCTCGATCTCGTTGATGGTGCGGGCGATGGTGGTGAGGAGGAGCTCCCAGCCCACACGGATGTGCTTTTACCATGACGATAAAACACACAAACAGATATAGACAAAGACAGACAGATTTATCAGCTGTCAACAATGTATTCCAACAATGCACCTTGGGATCTCGATGACATCCATCATCATTATCCCCATGACCACATCTAATCTACATAGAATGCATGTAGAGACGATCTCTCTGTAGTGCTCTGCAGTACCTCCATGGTGTAGTTGGTATGCTTGTTGTCAAACACCAGGGACTCCTGGATGTGCTGGTGGTCTCCCTCCAGCTTGTCAATGTTGGGCTTGTAGGTGAGGATGACGTGCTCGAACTGCTTCAACTGGGTCATCTGGTCCTCCAGGGTACCGCCCACCTCCAGGGAGCAGCGGCCAATCTCCTGTCAGAACCACACAAATGAGCAAGTCAGGTTTTTGTTCCGGGTCTAAAAGTACCCATAGACACTAAACTGATGGCTGACTCTCTGACCTCCATCCTTGTCTGTATCCAGGGTCCTATGAGGTTAGCCTGGGCAGCAAACTGCTGTCTCAGCCTCTCGTTAGTATGCTGCCGGGCTAGCTCCTCGTGGAGGGAGCCTTCTCTCTGAGGAACCAGCTTCTTCACCTGGTCAGCAACATAACAACAACACATACATCAATCTGACAGAAATTGGCTGTGTATGTGCATGCGTGAATGCATATGTGTGCATGTGTGTCTCAAGTGTATGTATGTGAATTCCGAGGTTGTACCTTGTCCCACTTGGCGAGGAGCTGCTCTGTGGTGATGGTGCTGTAGAGGTTGATGAGGTTGGCCTTGATGCCGTAGCTCTGGGAGATCTTCTGCACCTCGTTGTGAATCCCCAGAATGGCCTGTCTTTCTCCGTCTGCCTCTGGGAGGGTGGCCTTGAACTGCTCGTGGGCAGAGATCAGGCTCTGCAGGGGAGAACGAGAGGAGAGGTTGCAGTGCACGTAGAAGGTACTTTGGGCACTGTACCAAAATGACATAGCCGCAACATTTGTAACAACGGTAGAATGATGATATGGTATCAGTGAGTATTACGTACGTGGACCTCATCGATAGTGTGTACAATAAACATATCCTGCAGATCCTCCATGGCCCCTTCCATCCAGTTGTTGAAAGGTGCTGATCTCTTGGCAAACTCCAGGAACAACTGATCAATGGTTTCCAGCAGCTTCTCTGTCCTCTGGAAAACAGGAGAGAGAAAAACCTTTGTCATTCATCTCACTGACAATTCATCAACATTGCCTCACCTGTTTGGGCTGCTAATCCCAGGATGCATCACATTGACGTGACCCAATTGACCCCTGAGTTTGGCAAGATGGTCTGCATGCATTAGACCCCTCCCTTTGGGCAGGGAGAGGGGGCAGACAGCAGCCCATGTCAGTCACCCTAACCCCAGGCCTGGATAAGGGTCTTGAAACATTTGCAGGTCATGATCGCCCAGTAAGGATCAGAGGGGCTCAGAGGAAGGTGACTGTGGGCATCCTGCCATCCAGATATTGGACAGGCAGCCATATCTACATGAATGTGCCTTCAGTTCATCCCCTTATCTCTGTCAGCAGACTTAGTGGGCAACCAATAATCCCACCTTCCTCAATAAGCTGTGTATTCATTCCCAAGACCCCATCTCTAGCTATCTCAATAGAATATAGATGTAGCTTTATTATGGATTAAGCTGTCCTGTGAACACTCCACCCCACCTTAAGGTTACGTCATTCACTGCTTTATCTCCTCAGTTCTCAGCTGGATTCATGGAACTGGTTCTCTTTTCACACTACCAAGATGTACTGTGCCGGCTTGCTTTTCACTGGGCACAGCAGTTTAGCCCAGTTTAGCTGGGAATATAGCATATCACGTCCCAAACCTCAACCCCCTCCACTCACCTCCAGAGCCTCTCTCCTCTTCTGGGTCAATGTACCAAGTTGATCCCACAGATCACAGATGCTTTGACACCTCTGGTTGACAGCAGCCACACCATGATAGTCCAGCTCACTGCACAACACCACAGGAAACATACAGGTCAATCTAGGGCTGAGCAGTTTACATTTACGTCATTTAGCAGACGCTCTTATCCAGAGTGACTTACATTTAGTGAGTGCATACATTATTTGTTTTATTTTTCATACTGGCCCCCCGTGGGAATCGAACCCACAACCCTGGCGTTGCAAACGCCATACTCTACCAACTGAGCTACATCCCTGCCAGCCTTTCCCTCCCCTACCCTGGACGATTGTGCGCCACCCCATGGGTCTCCCGGTCGCGGCCGGCTACGACAGAGCCTGGATTCAAACCAGGATCTCTAGTGGCACAGCTAGCACTGCGATGCAGTGCCTTAGACCACTGCGCCACTCGGGATTTACTAGCTATATACTGGTACTGATGCATGGACGGGTTTTGATTTTTACTGTACCTTCTCTAACAGTATTTTAATGTTTGATTTGTTACATTAAATAATTCAGCAATGACTCTGAAAAAATTATGGCAATCATACATTTTTATTGCCAGTAAGAAACTGTTAACAGCTGAAAACTGCTAGCTAACTTGCTAGCACAACAAGTCAACAACTTCGAGAGCACAAGCTTGTCAATTAGAGACCCCCGGAAATCGTTCGACTGCAATTTAATCCATTGAAGTAAGAACTGCAATTGAATCCATTGAAAATACATGTTCATAGAGGAGAATAATTAGTCTGATAAAGGAAAAGGGACTAAATAACGAAATAGAGGCATACAAAGACAAAACAAACGTGGCACAGTGTAGAAATGATGACAAATGTGACTCGTTTCAGAAAACTCGGCGTATGTCGTGGGTCACTATTTCACAGGAGAGCCATTTGAACGTAAACTTTTCTTTTTTCAAAATGCATTTTTTGGCAGAAATGCCTTCTGGAACATGTGAACTTTCATGTGTCTTAATAACAAACTTGTATGCCATCTGTAAATACGAATAAAATTGTGCAATTACAATCCTAGTTGGTTAAGCCACAGAAAAAGACAGCAACCTTCCCACTAGCCATGATTTGCTGAGATAATGAGTTGGCTGGACATGCCGAGAGAGGAGTTCAGATTGGTCTGCCATGTAGCATGCTTCTGTCTATTTGAGCTGGTCAGTATGTGTAGGTAATCCAGTTTAACGCTGCTTTTTTAAAATGTATTGTGTAGTGGAGCTGCATACGTGTTGCTCTCCACTTTCTGGAGGGTCGAGTTTTGAAATCAGTGGAATTAGAGTCTGATAGCTAAAGAGATGGTCCCACAGATCCCAGATCCTGTGTCCGGATTATATCTTCAAACTAAGGGCAACCATGGCATCCGTGACAGGGAGACGCGTCCATCATGCATGATGAATACGGGTAACATAGTCCACGAGCTACATTTTCAGATATTACATGTTTCTAATTTTGACAGAAAGTGGTTTCATTTTAAGTTAGAGTGTACTGTACTGTACTGAACTTGTATTATTAAAAAACATTTAATACCGTCATACCGTCAAAAATTATACAAATATTGTGATTTGACATTTTGGCCATATTGCCCAGCCGTAGGTAAAGTGCATCATACCATATTTATGTATTTTGATAGATCTATATTTTGAAAACTTGATTGCTGACATGCAAAACATTTGGGACTATATCAACAATGGACTAATGACACAAATACCTAAATATGTTTTTTGGGTGTAGTTTTCCTTTAAGTAGAATGCAGATTGTATTCCTTGTCAAAGCCATGATTTTATGAATTGGACATGGTAGGGATGATGGTTAGGAGTGAGGGTTAGAGGAAGGGTCCGTACTTGAGCTCCTGTGCGATGGCAGCGATCTGCTCCACCCTGTCCTGGTGAGCAGCCAGGTCACTCTCAAACGACTCGTGTTTCCTTAGCAACGCCCGCACCTCCGTCAGGGTGGCCGTCTCGTAGTCCTTCTGAGATAGAATCAGCTCTTTACCTTGGTCAGAGAGAGAGAGAGAGAGAGAGAGAGAGAGAGAGAGAGAGAGAGAGAGAGAGAGAGAGAGAGAGAGAGAGAGAGAGAGAGGAGAGAGAGAGAGAGAACCTCCCATTAGTCAAAACAAATGCTTTAGATTTACTCTGACATTTTCCCATTGAAAACTCTCAAAGGATTTGGAGCTAATCACTTACATTCAAAGGTCAAACTCTAGACATACCAGGGACATAAGTAAACACTCCACAGACAGACAGACAATAATAGCCCAGACTGACCACTAGCCCAGGTCTCATGGGTGGTGGCTTTCTGGCAAAACTTTTCAGCCAGGTGGTCCAGTCTCTCCAGCCTGCGGATCTCAGTCAGAAGCCACTCCTCATAACCTTTCTCGGCCCCCTCCAGCCCCTGCCATGCACTGCTTATGTCCTACAACCACATAGAGACACACAGACACGGGTCAAAACTAGCAAAGAGTGCCTTGGTCTTTACCTTGGATGACCTATATCCATAGCTATCTATAACTACTGTACTTTGACTGGTGGCTTGTGTTTCATCAGTTTTATATGATTTATAATTGAATGTTGGGTGTTAACACTTACAGATACCATCTTTCCCTCAGAGGGCATAAAGGCGGGCCGGTTGCTTATGCGCAGCTTGGTCTGCAGGGTGTTGAAGCTGATCTCCAGCTGGCACTTCTCCTGCACCTTGGGGGGCTTGTGCATGCGGCGGTAGTCCCTGAAATCCTCCAGCTTCCTCTGCATCTCAACCATGGTCTTCTCTGCAGCCCTGTTCTCCAGCCATGGGGTGGTCCGGCGGATCCACTCCAGTAGCTACGAAATACAGAGGGTAGTGATGGAGTGGAGCTATGTGATTTGTGTGTTGTTATTCCTCTCAATTCAATTAAGTTGAATTGGACATTGAATTTGATTTGAATACTTGGAAATTCCATTCCTGCGAGTTTGTGTGTATAGGGATGTGAGACGGTGGACTTTTTGAGTTTTCAAATTGGGGTAGAAGTATGTCTCCTAAGAGAGTTCACCAATATGAAAGCATACATCCAAAAGTATGCTTTACCTCACTGGCCAGCCTCTCGTACTCCTCCATCAGTTTCTCATTCTCCTGGTTCACACCCAGCACTTTACAGATCCTGTTGGCTGCCGTCTCAGCCTACCAAGGGGAGGGAGGAAAGACAGATGAGGTCAGGGAGGAAAGAGAGGTGAGGTGAATTGGTTCTTGTCGCATATATAACGCAATTCCTCATACAATTACACCCCACCCAACCAACACGCACACCATTTAAGTAATATCTTTAATGCAATCTGTGTGCATCGTTTCAAAAACATGCATGTCAATGTCAAACTCACAATTTACCCAACTTAGTAGAATTATGATGTCAAACAACTTGCAGGCTAGCAAAGAGGACATACCAGGATATGTGTTTTTGGTAGTGATAGGGTAATAAGGCCTTAGAAACTTTGAATGATTGGATTATCGTGTGCTTCTTTTAAGTGGAATGATTGACACATGGTAATCATCATCAAATGGTTTTGAGGTATTTTACCCATAACACATTGCATTCACAAACTCGATTCAAATTGTTCATGGTGCAAGCTGTATACCTGCTCGGCTCCAGCAAAAGCATGATAGAAGCAGGACACATAGGTCATGATAGCTCTCTCATCAGGCTTGGGAGTGTTGATGATGTCTACAGTGTGGAGGGAGGGACAGAAGAGGGTGACAGACGACAAGTAGAGAAGGAGGAAGACACTGAAGGTGGGGACAGGAAACACAAGAGCACTGACAGAGGAGAAGGACCACAGATAGAAACTCCACACCTGAACGTCTTAGCCCAGGGCTATCCTGGAGGGAATTTGGGGTGGTCTATGGCCAAGGGGTCTAAACAAGGACCTAAAACTTGACCAGGTCACATTGACACTAGGACTAACGCATCAATGTGCCCTCACCTTCTGTACCACTGCAAATGTGTGATACAAACTGGACATATAGGTCATAACAGTCCTGTCATCTGGCCTTGCTGCACTTATCAAATCTGTGGGGACACCAGGCACATAGGACTTTATCATTACAATGTGCATACAAATACAGACAATCCTCCTGGCAATCTCCTCCAGACAATTCTGCAACAAAGCCTATAGTCTGACTCCCACCATTACAGTACCAAATAAGATGGTTTATGTTTTCATAATGAGCAGAACAAGATGCCTATAGCTAATGCCGATTTTCTAAACTTGATTTTCCTTAGAAGACATTACCTTCTGCGTCCAGCATCTTGGGAATATCCAGGTGCTTCTCTGCTATTTCAAAGGCCAGGTTCAGGTTCCCCATAGGATCATCCTTGAAAATAATCAGTATTATAGAAACATACTTTCCAATTATTTTGTTGCATAGCAGTTAGCGTATAACTGTATTTCAACTACTGTACACCACCTTAGCACCATTACACTTTTTAAAACTAAGAAAGAGTAATCTTTTCATTTACTTTTAATACGAGAAAACGTGCAAATGTAAAGTATTTGAAACCAGATTACAAACTGTCCTGCACCCAGTGATTAACCAAACAGGTGACAGACAGTCAGTAAGGGTCTCCTCACTAATGGAGTAGGGTGAGTCAGTGTGTTTAGTGGGATTAGAGTGCTCATGCTGCTGGTATTGTCCTAAATCTGTTCCACTGACGCTGGCTGAGGGGGAAAGCCTGTTACAGGACAGTGGCAGCTGCAGAGATCCAGGGCCGGCCGATACCTATGGGTCTGTTCCCCACATGGAGACATTTCAGCAAGCTAACACTCAGGGCTTACTGAGCCCACTCACCTGGAGACAGACACGACAGCTGACAGGGCCTGTCTGGGCCCAATGCATGCATGGGAGTGTTTGGGGGGGGGGGGGGGGGGGGGGGGGGGGGGGCATATAGAGATGTGTATTTGTGTGTGTGTGCAGGTGTGTGTGTGTGTCCACGTGCATATGTACGAGGGAGAGGGGGGACACCTCTACTAAAACCTTTTCTGAATTAAACAACATTCTGAATGGTTTGGGTTTCCCAGATCTATCAATTGTTTTTTTTGTTTTTTTTTGTCATTTAGCAGACGCTCTTATCCAGAGCGACTTACAGGAGCAATTAGGGTTAAGTGCCTTGCTCAAGGGCACATCGACAGATTTTTCACCTAGTCGGCTCGGGGATTAGAACAAGCGACCTTTTGGTTACTGGCACAACACTCTTAACCACTAAGCTACCTGCCGCCCAGGGCTTCAATTTTCCTGTCTATTCCCAAAAAACAATGGATAGATTGATTGCCCTATAAAGAGATTTTCTTAATCTATTCACAGTCATTTCTTCAAGGCAAAACTGCTCCAGCTCCTTCAAGATGGAGGGGTTCCGCTGGTGTACAGCAATATTTAAGTCATACCACAGGTTCTCAATTGGATTGAGGTCTGGGCTTTCACTAGGCCATTCCAAGACATTTAAATGTTTCCACTTAAACCACTCGAGTGTTGCTTTAGCAGTATGCTTAGGGTCATTGTCCTGCTGGAAGGTGAACCTCCGTCCCAGTCTCAAATCTCTGGAAGACTGAAACAGGTTTCCCTCAAGAATTTCCCTGTATTTAGCGCCATCCATCATTCCTTCAATTCTGACCAGTTTTCCAGTCCCTGCCAATGAAAAACATCCCCACAGCATGATGCTGCCACCACCATGCTTCACTGTGGGGATGGTGTTCTCGGGGTGATGAGAGGTGTTGGGTTTGCGCCAGACATAGCATTTTCCTTGATGGCCAAACAGCTCAATTTTAGTCTCATCTGACCAGAGTACCTTCTTCCATATGTTTGCTTATTTTTTTCTTCAAGCAATGGCTTTTTTCTGGCCACTCTTCCGTAAAGCCCAGCTCTGTGGAGTGTACGGCTTAAAATGGTCCTATGGACAGATACTCCAATCTCCGCTGTGGAGCTTTGCAGCTCCTTCAGGGTTATCTTTGGTCTCTTTGTTGCCTCTCTGATTAATGCCCTCCTTGCCTGGTCCGTGAGTTTTGGTGGGCGGCCCTCTCTTGGCAGGTTTGTTGTGGTGCCATATTCTTTCCATTTTTTAATAATGGATTTAATGGTGCTCCATGGGATGTTCAAAGTTTCTGATATTTTTTCATAACCCAACCCTGATCTGTACTTCTCCACAACTTTGTCCCTGACCTGTTTGGAGAGCTCCTTGCTCTTCATGGTGCCGCTTGCTTGGTGGTGCCCCTTGCTTAGTGGTGTTGCAGACTCTATGGCCTTTCAGAACAGGTGTATATATACTGAGATCATGTGACAGATTATGTGACACTTAGATTGCACACAGGGGGATTTTATTTAACTAATTATGTGACTTCAAAAGGTAATTGGTTGCGCCAGAACTTATTTAGGTGCTTTATAGCAAAGGGGGTGAATACATATGCACGCACCACTTTTCCGTTATTTATTTTTTAGAATTTTTTGAAACAAGTTATTTTTTTCATTTCACTACACCAATTTTGACTATTTTGTGTATGTCCATTACATGATATCCAAATAAAAATCCATTTAAATTACAGGTTGTAATGCAACAAAATAGGAAAAATGCCAATGAGGATGAATACTTTTGCAAGGCACTGTACTATCTTGTCCCCTAAAGGTGCACTATTGGCTATTTTAAGGTACAAACTGCAAGGGTACAATTATGTACCTATAACTAACACTACAATAGACCTACCTTACAGGGTACCACTGCAGTGACAAGTGTTTGTACCCCTTTAAGTACAATTCTGTACTTTTTTTCTGAGAGTGTACTAGGCTTGGAAGCTATACCTTATATACCATATACCAGGGTACAGTTGAAGTTGGAAGTTTACAAAAGCCTTAGCCAATTACATTTAAACTAAATTTTTTCACAATTCCTGACATTTAATCCTAAAAAAATTCCCTGTCTTAGGTCAGTTAGGATCACCATTTTATTTTAAGAACGTGAAATGTCAGAATAATAGTAGAGAGAATTATTTATTTAAGCTTTTATTTATTTCATCACATTCCCAGTGGGTCAGAAGTTTACATACACTCAATTAGTATTTGGTAGGATTGCCTTTAAATTGTTTAACTTGGGTCAAACGTTTTGGGTAGCCTTCCACAAGCTTCCCACAATAAGTTGGGTGAATTTTGGCCCATTCCTCCTGACAGAGCTCGTGTAACTGAGTCAGGTTTGTAGGCCTCCTTGCTCGCACAAGCTTTTTCAGTTCTGCCCACAAATTTTCTATAGGATTGAGGTCAGAGCTTTGTGATGGCCACTCCAATACCTTTACTTTGTTGTCCTTAAGCCATTTTGCCACAACTTTGGAAGTATGCTTGGGGTCATTGTCCATTTGGAAGACCCATTTGCAACCAAGCTTTAACTTCCTGACTGATGTCTTGAGATGTTGCTTCAATATATCCACATAATTTTCCTTCCTCATGATGCCATCTATTTTGTGAAGTGCACCAGTCCCTCCTGCAGCAAAGCACCCCCACAGCATGATGCTGCCACCCCCGTGCTTCACGGTTGGGATGGTGTTCTTCGGCTTACAAGCTACCCCCTTTTTCCTCCAAACATAACGATGGTCATTATTACCAAATAGTTATATTTTTGTTTCATCAGACCAGAGGACATTTCTCAAAAAAGTACAGTCTTTGTCCCCATGTGCAGTTGCAAATCATAGTATGGCTTTTTTATGGCAGTTTTGGAGCAGTGGCATCTTCTTTGCTGAGCGGCCTTTCAGGTTATGTCGATATAGGACTCATTTTACTGTGGATATAGATACTTTTGTACCTGTTTCCTCCAGCATCTTCACAAGGTTCTTTGCTGTTGTTCTGGGATTGATTTGCACGTTTCACACCAAAGTACATTCATCTCTAGGAGACAGAACGTGTCTCCTTCCTGAGCATTATGACGGCTGCGTGGTCCCATGGTGTTTATACTTACTTACTATTGTTTGTACAGATGAACGTGGTACTTTCAGGTTTTTGGAAATTGCTCCCAAGGATTTTCCCAAGATGTCAAGCAAAGAGGCACTGAGTTTGAAGGTAGGCCTTGAAATACATCCACAAGTATACCTCCAATTGACTCAAATTATGTCAATTAGCCTATCAGAAGCTTCTAAAGCCATGACATCATTTTCTGGAATTTTCCAAGCTGTTTAAAGGCACAGTCAACTTAGTGTATGTAAACTTCTGACCCACTGGAATTGTGTTACAGTGAATTATTGTCACGATCGTCGGGAACAGAGGACCAATGCGCAGCGTTGAATGCAAACATATTTATTAAATCTGAAGGATAACACGAACAAAAACAACAAAACGATAACGTGACGTCCTTAGCTCAAACAAAACCTACTAGTAACACGGAACAAGATCCCACAAACTCTGAGGGAAAACAGACTGTTTAAATATGGTTCCCAATCAGAGACAACCAGCAACAGCTGACACTCGTTGCCTCTGATTGGGAACCACTCTGGCCAACATAGAAATACAAGACCTAGAATGTAAAACAAAGAGCACAACACATAGACTCTACACACCCTGGCTCAACATAAAAGAGTCCCTAGAGCCAGGGCGTGACAGTACCCTCCCCCCCAAAGGTGCGGACTCCGACCGCGCCAACAGAACACCACAGGGGAGGGACCGGGTGGGCACTCCGCCTTGGCGGCGGATCCGGCTCTGGGCATGATCCCCACTCCCTCTCTAACCCCCCACAGTACCCCTGGTCCGGTCTGGCCCTGCTGGCCGGAGCTGGACTGAACACTGGTGGAGCGGATTGCTCTAGCTCCGACGTGGAGCAGCTGACCGGTACCGGACCAGGCACCGGTGGAGCAGGCACGGGCCGTGCCGGACTGACAACGCACACCACTGGCTTGGTGTGGGGAGCAGGAACCGACCGAGCCGGGCTGACGAAGCGCACCACTGACTTGGTGCGGAAAGCAGGAATGGACCGGGCTGGGCTGGCGACGCGCACAACTGACTTGGTGCGGGGAGCAGGAACAGACCGGACCGGGCTGGCGACGCGCACCATAGGCTCGGTGCGGGGAGCAGGAACAGGCCGGGCCGGGCTGGCGACGCGCACCATAGGCTCGGTGCGGGGAGCAGGAACAGGCCGAACCGGGCTGGCGACGCGCACCATAGGCTTGGTGCGGGGAGCAGGAACAGGCCGGGCCGGGCTGGGGACGCGCACCATAGGCTTGGTGCGGGGAGCAGGAACAGGCCGGGCCGGGCTGGCGTCGCGCACCATAGGCTCGGTGCGGGGAGCAGGAACAAGCCGGGCCGGGCTGACGACACGCACCACAAGCTCGATGCGAGGAACAGGAACAGGCCGGACCGTACTGGGGACACACACCACTGGCCCTATGCAGGGATCAGGAATGGGCCGGACCGTACTGGGGACACACACCACTGGCCCTATGCAGGGATCAGGAACGGGCCGGACCGGACTGGTAACACACCCCAGTACCTCTCGCCGTGCCTCCACACTTTCCCTCTCCTCTGTGACCAGTGGCCCCCTTAACCTGGCGGCCTCCTCTGTACACCCGCTAGACCGCTCCCTCGCGGCCTCCTGCTGCCCCGTCGTCCACGGCGTGAGCCCCCCCCTAAAAATTTTCTGGGGGTCTCTCTTCCCCGTGGGCCAGGCCTCTATAGTTCTCGCCCAACTCTCGCTCTTCTGCTTCCAACTCCAGCCATTCTGCTCCTCATTTGGCTTGACCCAGTCGAGACTCTTCCTCCACTGTTCCCAAGTCCACCCTCTCTGCTCTTCACTAGGCTTGACCCAGTCGAGGTTGCCACGGAGATCTGCTAGCGATTCCCCTGGCGATGGCTCCTGGACACGCTGCTTGGTCCAGTTTTGGTGGGATCTTCTGTCACGATCGTCGGGAACAGAGGACCAATGCGCAGCGTTGAATGCAAACATATTTATTAAATCTGAAGGATAACACGAACAAAAACAACAAAACGATAACGTGACGTCCTTAGCTCAAACAAAACCTACTAGTAACACGGAACAAGATCCCACAAACACTGAGGGAAAACAGACTGTTTAAATATGGTTCCCAATCAGAGACAACCAGCAACAGCTGACACTCGTTGCCTCTGATTGGGAACCACTCTGGCCAACATAGAAATACAAGACCTAGAATGTAAAACAAAGAGCACAACACATAGACTCTACACACCCTGGCTCAACATAAAAGAGTCCCTAGAGCCAGGGCGTGACAATTATAAGTGAAATAATCTGTCTGTAAACAATTGTTGGAAAAATTACTTGTGTCATGCACAAAGTAGATGTCCTAACCGACTTGCCAAAACTATAGTTTGTTAACAAGAAATGTGTGTAGTGGTTAAAAAACTGGTTTTAATGACTCCAACCTAAGTGTATGTAAACTTCCGACTTCAACTGTATTTGGAAAAAGCTGAAGTGAGGAGAGGGATTATTTAATATACTCTTTGAAGAGGTAGGGTTTCAGGTGCTTTCGGAAGATGGGCAGGGACTCTGCTGTCCTATCTTCAGGGGGATGCTGGTTCCACCATTGGGGTGCCAGGACAGAGAAGAGCTTGGACTGGGCTTAGTGGGAGCTGCCCTCCTGTAGGAGTGGAAGGGCCAAGAGACCAAAGGTGGCATGTGTAGAAGTGTGTGTGAGTGAATGTGTGAGTGAGTGCATGTGTGCTAAGGTGCGAAGAGTCAGTGCAAGGAGACTATTGGTGTGGAGGTGGTCGGTCCCGGTTTAGGTGTTCAGCAGTCTGATGGCTTGCGGGTAAAAGCTGTCTCTGAGCCTGGTTGTCCGAGACCCAATGCTTTAATTCCGTTTGCCAGACGGTAAAGGAGAACAGTCCGTGGCTGGGTTGTGTGTGGTCCTTGATGATGTTGCGAGCCTTCCTCAGGCACTGCTTGGACTAAATGTACTGTATGGGTGGGAGCCTGGCCCCAGTGATGGACTAGACCTTCTTCACCACCTGCTGAAGGGCTTTGCAGTTGAGAGCGGAGCAGATTCCATACCAGGCTGTGATGCAGCCAGTCAGGATGCGCTCAATGGTGCAATGATAGAAATTGGAGAGCGTCCGGGGGGACATGCCACATTTCTTCAGCCACCTGAGGAAGTAGAGGTGCTGTTACGCCTTCTTGACCAGAGTTGTGATGTTGAGGTACCATGTCAGGTTCTCAGTGATGTGGATGCAGGTTGACTCTAATCAAGTTGTAGAAACATCTCAAGGCTTATCAATGGAAACAGGATGCACCTGAGCTCAATTTCAGGTCTCATAGCAAAGGGTCTGAATACTTATGTAAATAAGGCATTTTCGTGTTTTATTGTTAAGACATTTGCAAAAATGTATAAAAAACGTTTTTTTCTTTGTCATTATGGGGTATTGTGTGTAGATTCCCGAGTGGCGCAGTTGTCTAAGGCACTGCATGGCATTGCTAGCTGTGCCACTAGAGATCCTGATTTGAGTCCAGGCTCTGCCGCAACCGGGAGACCCATGGGCGGCGCACAATTGGTCCAGCGTCGTCCAAGGTAGGGGAGGGTTTGGCCGGCAGGGATGTGGGTTCGTTTCCCACGGGGGGCCAGTATAAAAAAATAATAAAAAATAATAAAATAAACGTATGCGGAAAAAGTCAAGCGGTCTGAATACTTTACGAATGCACTGTATGTATAACTTGATGAGTTGGATTGCCTGTCCTTGCAAATTGTTTTTATTTAGTTTGAGCTTGTTAGCATATTTAGCTAGTAGCATCTATGGAAATTCGCTAGTACTTGCGCTAATTTGTTAGCATTCTGGTAATAGTTTGTATTAATTTATTTTTGTTTGTTTTTAGTGCCCCCTTGTGTACTAAGGCGGTAATACCGTAAATCCTGGGATGAGAGAAGGATGATATGATGATGTGAAAATCTGGTACCGCCCAACCCTAGAGTGTACCAGACAAACGATACGTCTAGGATAGCCTACTACTACACATAGCACACAAATTCTACACACAACAAAGTCTACTTTTATGAGATTTCACTGCTGTACCTACACATACGATACCTTCAAATTTTGATAGTTGATTAGATCTGGCCTGTGTTTGTGTATCAGGGCACAGAAGGCTAACCCATCCTTCCAGCTTTATACAATGGTGGGTCAGTCAGGTGAGCATGTCAGTAAGACAGTGAATGCAGAAATCAGTAAGGGAGCGATTGTGTGAGTTAAATCAGGGGTTCTCAAAGTGGGGTGCATGGAGGTACTACAGGGGGTCAGCGGCCAGATCTCAAAATACAATATATGTACTGTATATATATTTTTTTACATTTCATTTTTTTGGGTCAAGGGATCCGTGGAGTAAGTTGAAAGTGTGTAATACAATACAATTAAATGTAATATTGTTGATCTCCAATGTATGTTCTTAACCCTGGGCAACATGGACCTGGGAGGCTCACAGGGATATTGGTATTCACAGTACTACACCAACATAAATGTACTGTAATTTAAGCTTTAAAATTGCACAGTTTTCTCTCTGCCTCATGGCAAAATGTGTAGAATTGCAGGAAATTGTTTTGAAAACTGCAACATTTTCTCTCCAATGCCAAGAGGCGGCCTTTTAAATGTTATTTTGAGACTAGCTTTGTCCAGCCATGTACTGTAAAAGTCCTTGTAGGCCATTTTTAATGCACTCGAGTTGTGTTCTGATTATGAGGGAGTCCCTGACAAATTTGCTAATAAAAAAGGTGTCCCCGGCCCCAAAATGTTTGAGAACCCCTGAGTTAAACATAATGAAGCACTCTCTTATTTCTACTTCTCAAGTCAATCCATCCACATCATAACTTTCTTTTAATCCATGCTGTGTGAAAAGACTGGAGTTAATATTCTGGACATAGGGAACCCTTCTCTGTTAGTATGTGGGAGGCACTTGACACCATCATGGTTAGTGTTTGGGACACACGAGAGACCTTGTTGAGCTTAGCATAGTCGATGAGGTCAGGTCTGTGTCTGTGAATCAGGGCACAGAAGGCCAGTCCGTCCTTCCAGCTTCACCAGCAGGCAGCAGAGAGAACCAGGTCAGAGGTCAGATTGGCATGATAACTGAGTAAAACAGAGGTCACCAACACTGGTCCTAGAGAGCTATAGTGTGTGCAGGCTTTGCCTCTCTTATTACTTAGTACTAACACATTAGCACAGAATATAATACAATTGAAAAATACATATTAGTTCAACTTCGAGTTTTAACATTCAAAATCAAATAGCAAAATTATCCTTGGTATTACCTTCTTAAAACAATTCCATATAGCTTAGTAGAACACCTCCCCCAGTTTACACAGGGCTTAGACTCTAGAGGGTTAGGCAAAGCCTCAAAAGTCTTCTCACCTAACGTGGAAGTTCTGGACATTGACATTTCTGTATGGGGCAGTCTTTCTCTGGCACCATAAGAGAAGGCCTTCCTTTGCAGAAGTTTCTGAAAGGAGAGAGAAATATTTGTTCAACAGCAATATTCCCCAGTGAGATCTCTATTTAATTAAACCAGGAAGTCAGTACAGATAATCTGGCCAAGAAGGTAGCTGCAGTATAAAAACACTGGGAATCATTTACATTTACATTTTCGTCATTTAGCAGACGCTCTTATCCAGAGCGACTTACAAATTGGTGCATTCACCTTATGATAGCCAGTGGGACAACCACTTTACAATATATATACAGTGAGGGAAAAAAGTATTTGATCCCCTGCTGATTTTGTAAGTTTGCCCACTGACAAAGAAATGATCAGTCTATAATTTTAATGGTAGGTTTATTTGAACAGTGAGAGACAGAATAACAACAAAAAAATCCAGAAACACGCATGTCAAAAATGTTATAAATTGATTTGCATTTTAATGAGGAAAATAAGTATCTGACCCCTCTGCAAAACACGACTTAGTACTTGGTGGCAAAACCCTTGTTGGCAATCACAGAGGTCAGAAGTTTCTTATAGTTGGCCACCAGGTTTGCACACATCTCAGGAGGGATGTTGTTCCATTCCTCTTTGCAGATCTTCTCCAAGTCATTAAGGTTTTGAGGCTGACGTTTGGCAACTCGAACCTTCAGCTCCCTCCACAGATTTTCTATGGGATTAAGGTCTGGAGATTGGTTAGGCCACTCCAGGACCTTAATGTGCTTCTTCTTGAGCCACTCCTTTGTTGCCTTGGCCGTGTGTTTTGGGTCATTGTCATGCTGGAATACCCATCCACTACCCATTTTCAATGCCCTGGCTGAGGGAAGGAGGTTCTCACCCAAGATTTGACGGTCCATCGTCCCTTTGATGCAGTGAATTTGTCCTGTCCCCTTAGCAGAAAAACAACCCCAAAGCATAATGTTTCCACCTCCATGTTAGACGGTGGCGATGGTGTTCTTGGGGTCATAGGCAGCATTCCTCCTCCTCCAAACACGGCGAGTTGAGTTAATGCCAAAGAGCTCGATTTTGGTCTCATCTGACCACAACACGTTCACCAGTTCTCCTCTGAATCATTCTGATGTTCATTGGCAAACTTCAGACGGGCCTGTATAAATGCTTTCTTGAGCAGGGGGACCTTGCGGGCGCTGCAGGATTTCAGTCCTTCACGGCGTAGTGTGTTACCAATTGTTTTCTTGGTGACTATGGTCCCAGCCGCCTTGAGATCATTGACTAGATCCTCCCATGTAGTTCTGGGCTGATTCCTCACCGTTCTCATGATCATTGCAACTCCACGAGGTGAGATCTTGCATGTAGCCCCAGGCCGAGGGAGATTGACAGTTATTTTGTGTTTCTTCCATTTGCGAATAATCGCACCAACTGTTGTCACCTTCTCACCAAGCTGCTTGGCGATGGTCTTGTAGCCCATTCCAGCCTTGTGTAGGTCTACAATCTTGTCCCTGACATCCTTGGAGAGCTCTTTGGTCTTGGCCATGGTGGAGAGTTTGGAATCTGATTGATTGATTGCTTCTGTGGACAGGTGTCTTTTATACAGGTAACAAAACTCCCTTTAAGAGTGTGCTCCTAATCTCAGCTCGTTACCTGTATAAAAGACACATGGGAGCCAGAAATCTTTCTGATTGAGAGGGGGTCAAATACTTATTTCCCTCATTAAAATGCAAATCAATTTATAACATTTTAGACGTGCGTTTTTCTGGATTTTTTTTTGTTATTCTGTCTCTCACTGTTCAAATAAACCTACCATTAAAATGATAAACTGATCAATTCTTTGTCAGTGGGCAAACGTACAAAATCAGCAGGGGATCAAATACTTTTTTTCCCTCACTGTATATATATACAGTGGGGAGAACAAGTATTTGATACACTGCCGATTTTGCAGGTTGTCCTACTTACAAAGCATGTAGAGGTCTGTAATTTTTATCATAGGTACACTTCAACTTTGAGAGACGGAATCTAAAACAAAAATCCAGAAAATCACATTGTATGATTTTTAAGTAATTAATTTGCAATTTATTGCATGACATAAGTATTTGATCACCTACCAACCAGTAAGAATTCCGGCTCTCACAGACCTGTTAATTTTTCTTTAAGAAGCCTTCCACTCATTACCTGTATTTCCTGCAATTGTTTGAACTCGTTACCTGTATAAAAGACACCTATCCACACACTCAATCAAACAGACTCCAACCTCTCCACAATGGCCAAGACCAGAGAGCTGTGTAAGGACATCAGAGATAAAATTGTAGACCTGCACAAGGCTGGGATGGGCTACAGGACAATAGGCAAGCAGCTTGGTGAGAAGGCAACAACTGTTGGCGCAATTATTAGAAAATGGAAGAAGTTCAAGATGACGGTCAATCACCCTCGGTCTGGGGCTCCATGCAAGATCTCACCTCGTGGGGCATCAATGATCATGAGGAAGGTGAGGGATTGTCACGCCCTGGCTCTGGGGACTCTCGTATGTTGAGCCAGGGTGTGAGTTTCTAGTTTTTGTATTTCTATGTTGGCCAGGGTGGCTCCCAATCAGAGACGGCTGAAGCTCGTTGTCTCTGATTGGGAGCCATACTTAGGTAGCCGTAAGGCATTCGTTTGGTGTGGTTTCTTGTTCCTTTTGGTTTGTGTTTGTACCGTAGGACTTCATGTACCGTTTGTTGTTTTGTTCGCTGTGGTGTACTAAATAAAATATGTACGCATCTCATGCTGCGCCTTGGCCCGCATCTTTGCAAGACGATCGTGACAGAAGAAACCACCACGACTGGGTCAAGCAGCGTGATGAGGAGAGAGGTTGGACGTGGGAGCAGATGAGCGAGAGTCTGGCGAGAGCCATGGAGGCCGGGTCCACGGGGGAGAGAGATGGCCAGAAAATTTTTAGGGGGGGGCTCACGCCGTGGACGACGAGGCAGCGGGAGGCCGCAATAGAGCGGTTAGCAGAGGAGGCCGCCAGGTTACGGGGGCCACTGGTCACCAGGGGGAAGGAGAGTGTTGAGGCACGGCGAGAGGTACTGGGGTGTGTTGCCAGTCCGGTCCGGCCCGTTCCTGATCCCCGCGTAGGGCCAGTGGTGTGTGTTCCCAGCCCGGTCCGGCTTGTTCCTGTCCCTCGCACCGAGCCTGTGATGCGCGTCACCAGCCCGGTCCGGCCTGTTCCTGCTCCCCGCACCAAGCCTATGGTGCGCGTCGCCAGCCCGGCCCGGCCTGCTCCTGCTACCCGCACCAAGCCAATGGTGCGCGTCGCCAGCCCGGCCCGGCCTGTTCCTGCTCCCCGCACCAAGCCTATGGTGCGCGTCGCCAGCCCGGCCCGGCCTGCTCCTGCTCCCCGCACCAAGCCAATGGTGCGCGTCGCCAGCCCGGCCCGGCCTGTTCCTGCTCCCCGCACCAAGCCAATGGTGCGCGTCGTCAGCCCTGTCCGGCCTGTTCCTGCTCCCCGCACCAAGCCAGTGGTGCGCTTCGTCAGCCCGGTTCGGCCCGTCCCTGCTCCCCGCACCAAGCCAATGGTGCGCGTCGTCAGCCCGGTCCGGCCTGTCCCTGCTCCCCGCACCAAGCCTGTGGTGCGCGTTGTCAGTCCGGTACAGCCCGTGCCTGTTCCACCGGTGTCTGGTCCGGCACCGGTCAGCTGCTCCACTCCGGAGCTAGAGCAATCCACTCCACCAGTATTCAGTCCAGCTCCGGCCAGCAGGGCCAGACCGGACCAGGGGCGCTTTGGGGGGTTAGAGAGGGAGTGGGGGTCATGCCCGGAGCCGGATCCGCCGCCGAGGCGGAGTGCCCACCCGGTCCCTCCCCTGTTGTGTTTGGTTGGCGCGGTCGGAGTCCGTGCCTTTGGGGGGGGGGGGGGGGGTACTGTCACGCCCTGGCTCTGGGGACTCTCGTATGTTGAGCCAGGGTGTGAGTTTCTAGTTTTTGTATTTCTATGTTGGCCAGGGTGGCTCCCAATCAGAGACGGCTGAAGCTCGTTGTCTCTGATTGGGAGCCATACTTAGGTAGCCGTAAGGCATTCGTTTGGTGTGGTTTCTTGTTCCTTTTGGTTTGTGTTTGTACCGTAGGACTTCACGTATCGTTTGTTGTTTTGTTCGCTGTGGTGTACTAAATAAAATATGTACGCATCTCACGCTGCGCCTTGGCCCGCATCTTTGCAAGACGATCGTGACAGGGATCAGCCCAGAACTACACGGCAGGACCTGGTCAATGACCTGAAGACAGCTTGGACCACAGTCACAAAAAAAAACATTAGTAACACACTACGCCGTCATGGATTAAAATCCTGCAGCGCATGCAAGGTCCCCCTGCTCAAGCCAGCGCATGTCCAGGCCCGTCTGAAGTTTGCCAATGACCATCTGGATGATCCAGAGGAGGAATGGGAGAAGGTCATGTGGTCTGATGAGACAAAATTAGAGCTTTTTGGTCTAAACTCCACTCGCCGTGTTTGGAGGAAGAAGAAGGATGAGTACAACCCCAACTACACCATCCCAACCGTGAAGCATGGAGGTGGAAACATCATTCTTTGGGGATGCTTTTCTGCAAAGGGGACAGGATGACTGCACCGTATTGAGGGGAGGATGGATGGGGCCATGTATCGCGAGATCTTGGCCAACAACCTCCTTCCCTCAGTAAGAGCATTGAAGATGGGTCGTGGCTGGGTCTTCCAGCATGACAACGACCCGAAACACACAGCCAGGGCAACTAAGGAGTGGCTCCGTAAGAAGCATCTCAAGGTCCTGGAGTGGCCTAGCCAGTCTCCAGACCTGAACCCAATAGATAATCTTTGGAGGGAGCTGAAAGCCCGTATTGCCCAGCCACAGCCCCGAAACCTGAAGGATCTGGAGAAGGTCTGTATGGAGGAGTGGGCCAAAATCCCTGCTGCAGTGTGTGCAAACCTGGTCAAGACCTACAGGAAACGTATGATCTCTGTAATTGCAAACAAAGGTTTCTGTACCAAATATTAAGTTCTGCTTTTCTGATGTATCAAATACTTATGTCATGCAATAAAATGCAAATTAATTACTTAAAAATCATACAATGTGATTTTCTGTATTTTTGTTTTAGATTCCGTCTCTCAAAGTTGAAGTGTACCTATGATAAAAATTACAGACCTCTATATGCTTTGTAAGTAGGAAAACCTGCAAATTCGGCAGTGTATCAAATACTTGTTCTCCCCACTGTATATATATATATATATATATATATATATATATATATATATATATATATATATATATATATATATATATATATAAAAAAAATTGGGGGGGGGGGGGGGGGTAAGGGGGGGTAGAAGGATTACTTTATTCTATCCCATGTATTCCTTAAAGAGGTGGGGTTTCAAGTATCTCCGGAAGTTGGTGAGTGACTCCGCTGTCCTGGCGTCGTGAGGGAGCTTGTTCCACCATTGGGGTGCCAGAGCAGTGAACAGTTTTGAATGGGCTGAGCGGGAACTGTGCTTCCGCAGAGGTAGGGGGGCCAGCAGGCCAGAGGTGGATGAACGCAATGCCCTCGTTTGGGTGTAGGGACTGATCAGAGCCTGAAGGTACGGAGGTGCCGTTCCCCTCACAGCTCCGTAGGCAAGCACCATGGTCTTGTAGCAGATGCGAGCTTCAACTGGAAGCCAGTGGAGTGTGCGGAGGTGCGGGGTGACGTGAGAGAACTTGGGAAGGTTGAACACCAGACGGGCTGCGGGGTTCTGGATGAGTTGTAGGGGTTTAATGGCACAGGCAGGGAGCCCAGCCAACAGCGAGTTGCAGTAATCCAGACGGGAGATGACAAGTGCCTGGATTAGGACCTGTGCCGCTTCCTGTGTAAGGGTCGTACTCTGCGAAGGGTCGTACTCTGCGAATGTTGTAGAGCATGAACCTACATGATCGGGTCACCGCCTTGATGTTAGCGGAGAACGACAGGGTGTTGTCCAGGGTCACGCCAAGGCTCTTTGCACTCTGGGAGGAGGACACAACGGAGTTGTCAACCGTGATGGCGAGATCATGGAACGGGCAGTCCTTCCCCGGGAGGAAGAGCAGCTCCGTTTTGCCGAGGTTCAGCTTGAGGTGGTGATCTGCTCCAGCTCCTTCAAGTTGGATGGCTTCCGCTGGTGTACAGCAATCTTTAAGTCATACCACAGATTCTCAATTGCATTGAGGTCTGGGCTTTGACTAGGCCATTCCAAGACATTTAAATGTTTCCCCTTAAACCACTCGAGTGTTGCTTTAGCAGTATGATTAGGGTCATTGTCCTGCTGGAAGGTGAACCTCCGTACCAGTCTCAAATCTCTGGAAGACTGAAACAGGTTTCCCTCAAGAATTTCCCTGTATTTAGCGCCATCCATCATTCCTTCAATTCTGGCCAGTTTCCCAGTCCCTGCCGATGAGAAACATCCCCACAGCATGACGCTGCCACCACCATGCTTCACTGTGGGGATGGTGTTCTCGGGGTGATGAGAGGTGTTGGGTTTGCACCAGACATAGCATTTTCCTTGATGGCCAAAAAGCTCAATTATAGTCTCAACTGACCAGAGTACCTTCTTCCATATGTTTGGGGAGTCTCCCACATGCCTTTTGGCGAAAACCAAACATGTTTGCTTATTTTTTTCTTTAAGCAATGGCTTTTTTCTGGCCACTCTTCCATAAAGCCCAGCTCTGTGGAGTGTACGGCTTAAAGTCGTCCTATGGACAGATAGTCCATTCTCCGCTGTGGAGCTTTGCAGCTCCTTCAGGGTTATCTTTGGTCTCTTTGTTGCCTCTCTGATTAATGCCCTGCTTGCCTGGTCCGTGAGTTTTGGTGGGCGGCCCTCTCTTGGCAGGTTTGTTGTGGTGCCATATCCTTTCCATTTTTTTTATAATGGATTGAATGGTGCTCCGTGGGATGTTCAAAGTTTCTGATATTTTTTTATAACCCAACCCTGATCTGTACTTCTCCACAATTTTGTCCCTGACCTGTTTGGAGAGCTCCTTGGTCTTCATGGTGCCGCTTGCTTGGTGGTGCTCCTTGATTGGTGTTGCAGACTCTGGGGCCTTTCAGAACAGGTGTATATATACTGAGATCATGTGACAGATCATGTGACACTTAGATTGCACACAGGTGGACTTTATTTAACTAATTATGTGACTTCTGAAGGTAATTGGTTGCACCAGATCTTATTTAGGGGTTTCATAGCAAAGGGGGTGAATACATATGCACGCACCACTTTTCCGTTATTTATGTTTTAGAATTTTTTGAAACAAGTACTTTTTTTCATTTCACTTCACCAATTTGGACTATTTTGTGTATGTCCATTACATGAAATCCAAATAAAAATCCATTTTAATTACAGGTTGTAATGCAAAAAAAATAGGAAAAATGCCAAGGGGGATGAATAATTTTGCAAGGCACTGTATATTACCTTCTACAGAGATGTCCTGGATAGCAAAGCGGAGGATGATGGTCCATATCATTCCCAGAGTCATCTTAACGTTACCATCCACAATTTCTGAGGAGAAAACATCCCACTACCATCAGATCCAACACATAATTAGAGTAAGAACTGCTTCAGTGAATTAGATAATGGATTAATCAAATTAATCAAGAGATACTGAGCTGCCAACAGGGGAAGTACGGGCCGAATAAAAGATCACCTTCAGCTCCAATAGAGACAAGTTTCACTCCTTTGCTGGTGATGAAGTCTAGGGCTTTGTTGACATTGGCAATTTTGTGAAAACGCATCTTCCCTCTGTCAGGCTTGGGTAACCTCTCACCTGAGGGAAGGAGCAAACAGCATTAAACTCTCTGTGACTACCAATCAATGTATTCAACTATCAACTATATATTCAACAAACAATACCTGAAATTACTTCCAAGAGAAGCATGAGTTTGAGGCCATTCCTGAAGTCGTCCTCAATGTTCTCAATCTGTGTTTCTGCTTTCCTCAGGTGGGAGTTACACCAAGCTGTGAAGGTCTACAAAATAAAATGATGTTTTGGTGAGGAAAATACAAATAGTACAATGTAAATGTCACATAACTTTGATGCGGTGACCTCAAATTAGGATGAGGTTGAGCATTGATTGTAGAGACTTTCTGTGAGCTAATCAGATAACCTTGAGTGAGTTTTCCATCAAGGGTCTTATTCATCAAGGGTAGAATGTTCCACAATGTTTTAAAACTTTACAGTTTATTTTACATTAACTTTTCCAATTGGAAGGCTCATATACCCTTCCCAGTTGAAAGTTTGCCATCTATACTTTATGAAGGTAGCTACTGTAAGTGTATAGCCTGGTAGTAACATACTATAAGATAACAGCTTAGCATGACTTAGCCAGAGGCCATAAATTGTGATGACTGTGGTCCCTATGGCAAGTGCCACATATTGAGATTAACCTACTTGTTGAGGGTCAGCAAACCCCTTGGTTTCAAATTACACCTTCCCTCCATCCAACCTACTGCCTATTGTAAAGGATAAAATAATTTGTGCTCCGATAATGTTTATGCTTTCTACTGTATCCTTATGCATGACTTCAATATTACAACTCTCTTCTGCTATGTTTATATTAAGTCACTCTATCTCACAATAGCAAACAGAGCCCACAGGCGATCAACACTGTATAGATGAAGGCTTTGAGAAGACCCCAGCTCACATTCCTGATGATATAAGGAGTTAAATTTAGCCTGCTCTGGTGGCCCTAGTGATAAAAGACACAAAGAAAACATTTTAACTGAATATCAAGATTAGAGGAAAATGTCACATGCATACAGTGTATTCTTCTCTCACGTGTTTCTCTTTGAAAAGAAAAAAGCCACACTTTTACCAAAATGTTAACAAGTGTCTGATAATCAAAAATGATAAGTGGAGCTATCGCCATATTGCTTTCACTATCTATCCAGTCGTTCCAGATACGGTATGTGAATACCGAAAGGGCAAAGGCTAAAACGGGTGGGGGCTATGGGCCTTAATTGAAAAACCCAAATGTGTCAATTCTTGGATGTGTCACAAACTGGGAGTGATCTACAGTATATTGAATGGGATACATTGAACATCCCTTCTCAAAATGCCTTACTGGATCAGCCTCAATTAGACTCCTTACATTAACCAGGAATGTGATCTGTCAATTTGCCACCAGCTTTCATCTACACAGTGTTGACTGTACTGTGCGTAAACACAGGGAATGTTTTATATGCTTCAGTGACATGTTGTGTTTTCAAGCCATTCCAGTCCACACAGCATGACTAGGGGAGTGATCTTCTGGCCCTTAAGAACCTTAAGTTCTTATAGTACACAGCTTGGTCCCCCAGAGGGCTGTGGGTTAACGCCACCCTCCTGGAGAGGCTGCCCGGTGGAATGCCTGTCTAAATTAGGAATAATAGAGGCTTTGGAACAAAAGACGCAGCATGACAAAACAGACCAAAGTGTATGTGACATTGAACTGCTGCCCCCTCATTAAACATGGCTGGTCCTCCAGATCCTACCCCGCCAAACCCCTTCCTCCCTCCAACAGCCCTAATGATCAGAGCTAAATATATTCATGAATCATGTCCAATAGGGACCAACCCTGTCATTGAAGGAGTTGTTCAAACACATTAACTGGTTGAAGGCTGTTTATTCATTATTTTCACTCTTGGTTCCAAGAATCATGTCTAATTTGCCTCTGTTCACCAAACCCGGCTGAATCAGGTGGCACCTGGTAGAGTCAGGTGGCACACCTAGCCTGTGCTAGAACATGGTAGCCTAATTGACATGTTAGTTTACAAAGGTAAGGACAGTTCAGGTTGCCAGCAGGTCTCATTTGAGGGCAGCAATGTCTTCCCCGGTGGCTCTTACTGGGTAATAGGATTAAAGTGGAGGGAAAGCTAATATAGAGCCTTACTTAAGATGTCAGAGAAGGTACTGAAAACTGAAAACAAATCCCACGTGGTCAACACTGCTATCCACCTATGCCATGCATATACCATGCAGAAGGCCCTCGGTAGGCCTATACGTCTTAATTAGCATGTACCTAAAATACCCACAAAATAAATATTTGTTTTGCCTTGTTAAACCAAGATAGTTGAGACACATTTCATCCTCTTCCATGACAATAAAGTTTGAGCATTTCTGAAGGAAGACATACTGTAACCTCATTCTGTTTTAGACCAGTTGACAGATAGGCTCCTGAGTTGGGGGCCTATATTCAGATGATTGGTACAGTATTTGTGGTCTCTATAAACAAAAAGATTCCACACCAAGGACACTGGATTAACCCACTATAATGCCTTTTGGTCTCGAGGTTAAAATTAGATATTGCATTCATTCTAATCCCAAGCACATCATAATGTGTTAAGAAGCATCTGTTGACAGTTCACATTCCTCGCGTATCAGTGGAATGGCAACAGTTTCGAGTGCTGCTCATTGAGCTATTGTTAGCTGGTACCCATCGCATCTGTCGGTCAATATTCCCGTCAACTGGATCCAAGACAGATCCCTGGCTCCGGCTGAACCTAATACCAGGAACCAGAGAGCGCTTAGAAGTCTGAGCTCAACGTGAATAACTCAATATTTAATTAATTTAAAAAATTGGAAATGGAAAAAAAAAAAGAGTGTACTGTCTCCAAATCCGGTGCGTGGAGTACTGCAGTGCGTAAAGTTAATTTGTTGAATTGGTTATGTGCATGTCGTCATCTTCTCTCGACTTACCTTTCTTTGCTGTTTTTCCCAGGCAGGGTCCAGCAACATGTCCCTGTCCCACTCATCCTCCTGTATCATGTAGTCCTCCTCATCTCCGAAACCATTATCATAATGCACCGTCGTCTCTATTTGGGTCATCATTGCGTCCTAAGTATTTGTATTCCCCCAAATTCACTGCGTTTTTGTCTTCCAATATCCCTATGTGTTTTCACTCTGATAATTGAATTATTGACCTGGGATGGGTAACTTCCACTCTCCTGCTCTTTCTATCTCACTCCCTCTCTCTCATTCACGCTTGCCGGTGTTCGGTCTGGCCGCAGTTGCCACAGCCGGACAAGCGTTGATATCAATAAGTACTGACAGGTCACGTGACAGGCGCGCAGGGTTTCAGTGCCCTATACATGGGGAGCAAACTGCTCTACTGTTCACAGACCCACCGGCGCGCGTGCACACACACGCACACACACACACACACAGGCAGGCAGATAAGTATTCGTTTCATGAATATAATATCAGTATGATTGTAAGATGGATAGTTATATTGGTGTAATGATAACTCATTGTTTCAAAGGCTATCATCTGTGATAATACATTCAGAGATAATAAGTGTTCTGGACTCTAATAAGCCAAGGTTGAGGTGACAGCAAGCAGGTCCTAGCCATGACTTAACACACATGTGTACACACACACACACACACACACACACACACACACACACACAATAATGTATTTCTGATTAAACCAAACACACTCTTTCATTCACAAACACAAACCGAGGCCTCCTCCTTAACTGTTCCATAAAAGCTTCCTCTCTTCCAATCAACCTGGAGCCAGGCCAGTGTCCTGACGTGGCCCCGTGTTCCAACAGCTGACAGCAAACACACACTTTCTCTTCCTCCCTCACACATAAACAGTACATAGCATCTCTCACACCCAGAGTAGCTTTTATAAATCATCAAATGGCCTACAAAATACCCAGCTCAACATTCAGGGGTCATAACTGAGGGCTTCAGAAATGTAGTTCATGAGAATAAAAAAAAATAACATTGCTTAGGTGGGCAGAAATATACTTTATTTCTGTAGAAAACGTTAATTTCACACTTCCGAAAATATTCCTGCACATTTGAAAGGACGTACAAACACAAAATGGGTGAATTTTGACAGTTATAAATATAATCTTTCTTCCTTGAGGCCCCCAGATAGTATTGCATAAATAACCAAATGGGTCACAGGCCTTCCTATGGGCCACGGAAAAACATGGCTCACAATACTTTTCAGTGGGAATAACACCAGCAATTATTTTGCTTGTCTTCTTTTATGGGCCCACATCGATATCCCCTAAGGTTGCATGAATCTGAGTGAATTTGCCAAGATTTTAAAGACACCATGTTCTTCCCTCCCTCTTTTCCTTCACACAAATGCGGAAGAGTTCCTCATGTGTATTACCAAAGAATCAAATGTTCTGTCTAAAATGTGAGTGAGTATTCAAATCCAAAGTCAGTCCAATACCAAACCAGACCTAGGTCTTAAAAACAAGAAACAAATTATACCCCAGCTATGAACAGTTAAACATCAGATAAGATTGTCTGTGCAGTACGTGGGAGTGTTGGAGTGTACGTCTGTGTGTGTGGTATGTTTGTGAGAGAGTTATGTTAGTATAAACTGGAGTGACTTGAAACACACAGAGTCCATAAAGAGTGCAAACAAAGACATAAGGTTGATGTGTTCATTTGAGACATATCCAACAGCCTTGAGAGCACCATGTCAGTCAGAAAACCACTAATCCTGTCCAAGCTGAAAGCCCCAAAACATCCTGGGCTCAGAGAGGTACAGAGTGGGGGTAAGGAGCGAATGAAGGAGGGAGGGAGGGAGGGAGGGAGGAAGAGGAGGAGGAGGGATGCCCATGGCCCCCTTTTCATAGCCTGTCATCCGCAGAAGTGTTCTCAGGTCCTGGGGTGCAAGAGGAACAGAGGGATAGAGGAGGGGTGTGGAAGGAAAGCCTTCACCCTTCATCATGCAGTCTCATTCAGGCCACAGGGTCGTCTGAACTCCTGCCCTCGTTCATGGATCCATTTGTTTGATACTGAGGGTGACAAAGAAGATAGAGAAAGATGTTCGCTGCCATAGCCTGGTCTGGTATAATGTCTACAGTACTACAGTCTACAATATATCAGAGATAACTTGGAGAAGACCAAAACAACGATTACCTGAAAAAAGTAAATGACTGACTGTAAAGGTAGTTAGAACAGTGTCATAAACATTTACAGAGATACATTTAGGTGGTTTCGATACACAAACTCACCCCACTTGTTGCCCACCAGTACTGGGCAGGCTGCGTGTCTCGTACTGTAGTCTCCCTCTCCACTGGGAAACAGGTTATACCAGAACACTGCAGTCCCCTGAAATACATCACACACAGCAGAGAGAGGTTACAGGGAACTATGTAACTACGCTCATACACATAGGCTGCAAATACACACGCTCATAAGCATTTAGTCACCTTTTTCGGCCATACTGCAGCACCCACATCTGGGAATACTGTAGCACCTCCCGCTGCCACATCACTCATCTAGAACCGAGAAAACAATAACTAGTCATCCACTATTATCTTATTGGAATCTTACCTAATGTATTTATTTTAGGGATGTGGGGGCAAAGAAGGAAGCAGTCCCCATGCATATAGAGATACTCACATAGAAGAGCCAGGTTGCTATGCGGTTTCCAGTTCCCAGCTCTTTAAAGGCATCAGGCTCATCTTTCTGTAGAGAGAGAGAGAAACTAGGTTATCATGACATGATCATTATGAGCAAAAATGGCACATCCTATGTGTAATCCAAAAACGTCTTACAGCAATAATATGTGCACTTATATATCAGGGCTGCAGGGCAATACTAACCCGTCCAAAGTCAAAGTGGGGCTCATACTGCCCTCCCACACCATAGTTTGCAACCTGCAAAGCAAAAAAATGAGAATAGTGAGATCATTAATATTGGAAATGTAACCGTCAACAATCCCAAACAATGACACAAACACACACACTGTACCTGCAACTCTTCTGCAGTGTCCATCTCCAGTCCTGTGAGGTCCTCAATCCGCTGGTTGATCTGGTCAATCAATGGGTGTTCATATGCTGTCAGCCATGCACTGGGACAGGGGAAGGACACAGGGGTTAATGGAGAACAGGTCAAATACAGGGTATATGAATTGTCATAGGGGGGCAGTAGAGTCACTATAGTACAATAGTTATTACTGATGAACAGTATAGGAGAGAGAGAAACTTGACGAACCATTCTGCAAGCTACTGCTGAAGATGAAATATATAAACTACAGCAGGTTAATGCGTTACGTGCATTTGATAGATGAGCAGTGGGAGGAGCGTTGAGAGAGGAAGAGGAGAAAGCGGCCCGATAGTCTCCAATCAGCTCAGCATACAGTGGTGGGAGTGTCTGAAGTTTAGGAGTAACAAAATAAAGTTGTGTTTTTTAATCTATTTTTCAAGAACGTATGCCTTCTATAGGTTGAAGCTCTCAGTTTGCGGTCATCATGTGGCTTGGGAGAATTCTGGAGGTCACATAGGCTTGGTTGATGACTTAAGGGGCACCAGAGGAGAGTATTTTTTATGCTTTTAGTGAACACTACCAGCCTTTCACCACCCCCCAAGGCCCAGTAGTCTAAACTGCCCACTCCAATAGGGAGGGAGTCATTCTGACTGGGGGTCATGGCAATGACTTCTATCATATATCATATAAAGACATCACAATTTCTTACATCTCTCATTTTATGGACCACAACATTATTTTGTAGTCGTTTTTCTGGGTCATGCACCACGAGGCACAGTGTGCAAATAAAAATGGTAAAACCACAGAACATAGCATTCTTAAGGTGGATTCTTTGTTTAATAGATTTGCCTACACTGCATGAAGTGAGAGTTGTAGCAGTTGTGGCCGCAATGTTTTCAAGGCCAGGGGGCTGGAGTTTGAGTTTACAGCATCGGGATGAGGTCCAGGCCAAAGGCATAGGTTCAGACATCTGCTCTCCACACACCATACCTTTTTATTAGATACATTATTGAATCTCTCAGCCAATAAAATACACTTTCTGTATTACTTAATACTGAAATTCCTTTATAAGATTAGCCAAATTCAAAACTAAGATTAGTGTTAGTCTATGTGTGTGTGAGTAAAGTGATGTATTAGAAGTTGCTGTTGGGGGAGTGAAGACAGTAAAACATTAATTGGACATGATACAGTGGTGGTTAGGTCAAAAAGTCTCTCTTCCTACAAATTCTCTCCCCTGCTGTGACTGCTCTCCCACTTTGACCTCTTGGTCAATTCAAATGAGGTTCACGCTCAGTTCACCACACACACAGTTGCACATACTTCCACATGAACACACAGACGCAGACATAGACAGACAGACACACACACACATATATACTTGCATGCAGACACATGCACACACTCTAGCAAACACACAAATAAGCACTCATACACAGTAATAGGCAGGGACAGAAAAAATAAAGTGACGTAGGGTGGTATGGGTGTGGAATGGTTGGTCCTATTTTAAAAAAGGTTTTTAAGTAACTATGACTTAAGACTGGCATGTTCCCCTACAATCTAGTAGTCTTACCATAGATTGAGGTTCTGTGGGTGTATTAGATCTCCACAAGGGGGCACTCACTGTTCATCAGAATCATCAGAGAGAGAGAGAGCGAGAGAGCGAGAGAGAGAGAGAGAGAGAGAGAGAGAGAGAGAGAGAGAGAGAGAGAGAGAGAGTGTTTGTGGATGTGTGTGAGAGGGGAACTGCTTCAGACCGGCTGATATGGAACTTGACGTGTCATTGGCCCTGTCTGCACAGAAACACTGTGGCCTCAGATGAAGAAGAGGAGAGAAGCCATAATGAGCTCATTCACCTGATTGTAAGAGAGCAGCATAGATTCACTGCAGAAAAAGGTGGTGACGTGGCCCTACTGACTCAAAGACATGCCAAAACCTGGATAGGACGTCCTGGGGATGCAGGGCAGGTCAGGGTGGTATGGGATGGGATGGGATGGATAGAGACCAGAGGGGATGGGGGGTCTCTGGAGCCCCTAATGTATTATGACCTTTGACCCCTTACCTCTTGGAGACTCTGTACAGAGCCGTGGTGAGTTTCCCAGTTAGGGGGTCATGTACTGTGGCACGCCTTAGCTAGTTTCCCCGGGCACAAGAAAAAACAAGGAAATAAACAAATGACAGAGAGAGAGAGGAGTAACACACACAACAAACAAATAGATTAAGTAGAGGGAAATGGGAAGTGAAAGAAACAGAGAGAGGAGAGATAAGCAGATCTGGTCAATGTTATTCCGACATTATGCCAGGGGTTGTTTCAAGGCCAGTCCTTTAACCCAAGGTTAGTATCACTTAATGGTTTATTCTCTAGTTTAGGAGAATACTAAACTAGTGATTACATTAGTGATAAAAGGAACAGAGGATTTGTGAAAAGGACTGCTCCTGACACACCCTTAGTTGGTCAAAAGCAACTATGTTAATATCAACAACTTAATCTTTACACCTATATGTTTTATCCTCCTCCCCCTCCACTGGGTTAAAATCCAAGAGCAGCAGTAACTCCTGAGCAGAAACACATTTTCACCACATTCAGGCCCTACACTCCTACATACTCTGAACTTCTAGAATGCCCCTGGAATCTTCTAGAATCTGACTTATGGTTAGACTAAGAAAATTAGTCTGAGAGAGAGCGTGGAGGAGGGTCTAGTCAAAGTAAGATTCTGTGCTTCTGCAGAGGAGTCTTCAAGCCTAGGAGGGAGGGAGGAATACGGACCGGACTCAGAGGCATAGGCCAGTGGCAGGTGTAAGAGGAGGGGGTTGAGGTGCGGTGAGAATGGGGAGAGGGGTTATGTGTACCCCCCTCCTGCTCCACCCCTCCCCTTGACCCCCTCCTCTCCTGCTGCCTGCACCTGGCTGTGCCTTACCTCTTGCTGATTCTGTATGGGGCAGTCTCGAGCACACCAGTGATGGGGTTGGAGATGGTGGCCCGGCGAAGCTGTAAGCCAGGGAGAGGGTGTTTACAGGATACCCTGACACCACCTTCATCGCTCACCTCCACCCCCCAGCCTCTGCTCTGGCTGGGCTTAAAGGGCTCAACCTACCTACACTTTCATGGCTCTTTGATTTAAGTCAACACTCATTGACTCAATCAATACATACTGTGTCAAGAGTGTTTATATTTAGCATTAACATTTCCCATTCGTTCTGCCTTCCAGTGGCCTCGACCCTGCAGATACACAGCTTCAGCTGGTCAGACAGTTACTAGTATGAGTATCTTGATTACCCCAGAGCAAAGACACAGAAATTACACCTCTGTAGAACCATGAAACCCTTCCATCACACACTTCTGTGTGGCCATGACACCCTTCTGAACCCTTATTACCTCAATGTAACACACACATACCCGACAGAGCGTGGAACTCACCCTGGGCTTGGCCAGCTCTTTGACCTTCTCGATCTCGCTGTGAGAGATGATGTCATGGTAACGGACGATGTAGGGCCGGTCCCACTCATCCTCCTGCTTCACCGGGCTCAACAGGTACTTGGGGTGACTGTGGTTGTCATAGTAACGGCAGAAAAGCCGGCTCTGTCTGCGGGGGGTCTACAAGGCAGAGATGGGGGAGGGTGGAGGTAAGAGGACAGATAGATTGACACATAGAGATAAAGAGATAAAGACACAAGAAGAGACAGAGCTAGAAATTGGACATTACTCTTTGATAACTACAACTTGTGTTCAACTAACACACATATGCACAACCACACTAACACACACTCTAAACCCATTTATATGAGCTCAACCTCTCACTGTGTGTGTGAGTAACTCCTCCTCACCAGCTTGATGCCCTCCCCTCGACACAGCATCTCATACATCTTCCTCTCTGGGACAGGCTCCCTGAAGCGCTTCTTCTTCTTGGAGGCATCACTCGTCTGTCTCTTCGTTCGCACCTTGCCCTCCTTCTGGGCCTCCTCGGCCTGGGCCTTCCTCTGCTTTATCAGTTGAAACTCAAAGTACTTCAGGTTGCCGTTGGCACGCTGGTGTTCCGGGTCTGGAGTGAGGAGAGAGAGAGAGGGGACAGTGAGATGAAATACTGATGCTCATACAGTAACAAGACAAGGAAGACGTTGTCTCATTTTTAAGATTCATACTCAGCGCTACTCACTATCTGGATCACTAACTTCAGACCCTACTGCCTTCTGGGACATTTTATGAGTAATCCTCTATCCCAGTTTATGCTGGGCATACAGGACAGCAGCTGTCGTTCAATGATTCACCTGGAGGGCATCATATTCCCTTAGCACTTGTTAACAGTTCAGGTCCTTCAGTGTGCTCTCAGTTTCACTCCTTTAACTGTCTTAGTGTGTCCTTAGTTTGACACCCACCCCCAGTGTGCCTAGTTTAACTCCTTTAATTCTGAGCCATGTTAGGGTAACTCACCCAGTATGAGCAGCCTCTTGGTGAGCTCCAGGGCCCTGCCTAGCTCCCCCTGCTGGTAGATGGCATAGCTGAGGTAGTCCAGCACGGTGACCTTGTCCACGGTGGACTCCTCTCCTTCGTCCAGCTGCTTCAGGGCCTGCTCCATCCACAGCTCAGTGTGGTAGTAGTCCACCTCGGTGTAGGCAATCTTCCCCAGCTCAAAGCAGTCCTCCGCCGTCATAGGGCTCTTGTGCGTCACTCCTGTGGATGAGTCAGCGGTTTCAAACTTACAAATTATAAAAGGCCTCAAGTTCTCTCTCTAGCACTCCCTAACCCCTTACCTGGCAGGTCTCCTGTAGAGATGGTGTTGGTATCCAGCCTGTAGGTGTCCTGCAGTCTGAGCAGCGCCTTGGCTGCGCCTGTCTGGTCCTCATCTGTAGGGAAGTGTTTCCTCTGGAGGGTCAAGTTAGAGATGAAGCCTGATAGAAAGAGAGAGATCCTCATTCATGAGGATGCTCACTGTGAGCATACAACAGACAAACAAACATTGCAGCAAATCTCTAATGTTAACAACACTTATCTGTCGTTGCTGCTTTGTGACTACTTTTCAACATCCTTTTCATCCCTTCTAACGTGACCCTCATAGTGTCATAATGTCTAACCGTCTGTGGTGTCCTTCAGCACCAGGCTCTCCAGGTCTCCCCATTCTGTGTTCAGCCTCTTCATCAGTTTGAAGGCGTTGACCGGGTGCCCCAGGAAGCCCTCGGGATCCTGCACGGCTGTGGCTGACAACACATCCAGCTTCTCTGCCCACCTAGGAGAGGGTTGGGAGAAGAGACACAATTCAGCTACTCTGTTTGTGTGTGTGTGTGTGTGTGTGTGTGTGTGTGTGTGTGTGTGTGTGTGTGTGAGAGTGTGTGTGTGTACGCGCGTGCGTGCATGTGTGTCTGGACACTCACTGTTTGACCTGCTTCAGCTTGTTCTCCTCTGCCATGATATAATCCTTCAGTGAAGTGACCAAGTCTTTCTCTGTGTACAACAGATCTGTCATGTGACCTAAGGGAGGAAAATACACACACACATTATCAAACTTTATTTTAAGCTTATTTAAACCAATAATACACATAGTGATAAGGAATACATTGTGTACTATATCATTTAACTTCCGGGTAGATAACAATCACAGTATGTGCTTGATATTTTAGACAGCCAGATAATTTATTTCATTGGGGCATTGAGGGCAGACCAAACTTCTGTCTCACAACCGGTTTCTATTTCATAGGAGAGGGAGGAGCCTCACCGATGGATGTGTAAAAGTCACTGTGGGCTGAGAAAGTCTGGAGCAGGCAGCTCAATACCAGTAAACACCACCAACACCGTCGCTCCATCCTGGACATACTGGGAGAGAGAGAGAAGGTGAAGGAGAGAGAAAGAGAGATAGGAGGTGAGAATGAGGGTGAGTGAAAGAAGGACAGTGCATGTATGCTGTTTGCTCACTCGAATAATCTGTCAGCTAATGTACTAGAAAAAGTAATGGTTTATAGGGTAGTTCCCTTATGACAGAACCCACTAATCACAGACCAATGTCGACGTCTTTTAGACATCTTTTTCTAAGCTCTTTTCTTTGTGCGGTCCGGACAGGCCTTGATTTCAATGTCCACAGACTTAGATTTTTGGACCGGACCAAATCTGAAACAATGATAGAGGTCTATGTTTGGTTCAGATTTGGTGCGGTCCGTACAGGCCTTGATTTCAACGTCCACAGATGTCCAGTCTGGACCGGCCTATGTTTGGCCCAAACATAGACGTCTATAATTGGTTCAGATTTGGTCCGGTGCAGGCTGGCCTTGAGTAGGCCCAAACATAGACGTCAATGTTTTACAAGTTTGGACAGCACAGTACAGCACAGTACAGTAGAGCACAGTAGAGTAGAGAACAGCACAGAAAGGTAAAGTATAGTACAGTATAGTACAGTACGATACAGCTCTACGGGCAATTCCTTCGACCTCATGGCTAGGTTTTTGCTCTGACATGCTATGTCAACTGTGGGACCTTTATAGACAGGTGTGTGCCTTTCCAAATCATGTCCAATCAATTGAATTTACCACAGGTGGACTCCAATCAATTTGTAGAAACATCTCAAGGATGATCAATGGAAACAGGATGCACCTGAGCTCAACTTTGAGTCTCATAGCAAAGGGTCTGAATACTTATGTAAATAAGGTATTTCTGTTTTTTATTTTTAATAAATTTGCTAAAGTTTCTAAAGTTTCTAACAACGGGCATGTGTATGATCTGTGTATTAATATTATTCATATCTCAGAGCCATTTGCATTGCTAGTTATAGCCTAATGTTAGCTAGCTTGCTAACATTGAACCTAGTTGGTTAGCTTTAGCTACCTGTAGATTCATGCAGGGTAGTAACGTTATGTGCTGGGATTATGGTTAATTGTTTAGCTAGCTAGCTTGCTACATGTCTAATCAAAAGACTCCACTATGCATGTGTGCAACCTAAGTGTCACATGATCTCATTATATACATCTGTTCTGAAAGGCCCCAGAGTACGCAACACCACTAAGCAAGGGGCACCACCAAGCAAGCGGCACCATGAAGAGCAAGGAGCTCTCCAAACAGGTCAGGGACAAAGTTGTGGAGAAGTACATATCAGGGTTGGGTTATAAAAAAATATCAGAAAATTTGAACATCCCACGGAGCAGCATTAAATCCATTATTAAAAAATTGAAAGAATATGGCACCAGATCAAACCTGCCAAGAGAGGACCGCCCACCAAAAACTTCCGGAAGAGGCAGGAGGGCATTAATCAGAGAGGCAACAAAGAGACCAAAGATAACCCTGAAGGAGCTGCAAAGCTCCACAGCAGAGATTGGAGTATCTGTCCATAGGACCACTTTAAGCCAAACACTCCACAGAGCTAGGATTTACGGAAGAGTGGCCAGAAGAAAAGCCATTGCTTAAAGAACAAAATAAGCAAACACGTTTGGTGTTCGCCAAAAGGCATGTGGGAGACTCCCCAAACATATGGAAGAAGGTACTCTGGTCAGATGAGACTAAAATTGAGCTTTTTGTCCATCAAGGAAAATGCTACAGTGGGGAAAAAAAGTATTTAGTCAGCCACCAATTGTGCAAGTTCTCCCACTTAAAAAGATGAGAGATGCCTGTAATTTTCATCATAGGTACACGTCAACTATGACAGACAAAATGAGAAAAGAAATTCCAGAAAATCACATTGTAGGATTTTTTATGAATTTATTTGCAAATTATGGTGGAAAATAAGTATTTGGTCAATAACAAAAGTTTCTCAATACTTTGTTATATACCCTTTGTTGGCAATGACACAGGTCAAACGTTTTCTGTAAGTCTTCACAAGGTTTTCACACACTGTTGCTGGTATTTTGGCCCATTCCTCCATGCAGATCTCCTCTAGAGCAGTGATGTTTTGGGGCTGTCGCTGGGCAACACGGACTTTCAACTCCCTCCAAAGATCTTCTATGGGGTTGAGATCTGGAGACTGGCTAGGCCACTCCAGGACCTTGAAATGCTTCTTACGAAACCACTCCTTCGTTGCCCGGGCGGTGTGTTTGGGATCATTGTCATGCTGAAAGACCCAGCCACGTTTCATCTTCAATGCCCTTGCTGATGGAAGGAAGTTTTCACTCAAAATCACACGATACATGGCCCCATTCATTCTTTCCTTTACACGGATCAGTCGTTCTGGTCCCTTTGCAGAAAAACAGCCCCAAAGCATGATGTTTCCACCCCCATGCTTCACAGTAGGTATGGTGTTCTTTGGATGCAACTCAGCATTCTTTGTCCTCCAAACACGACAAGTTCTATTTTGGTTTCATCTGACCATATGACATATGACATTTTCCCAATCCTCTTCTGGATCATCCAAATGCACTCTAGCAAACTTCAGACGGGCCTGGACATGTACTGGCTTAAGCTGGGGGACACGTCTGTCACTGCAGGATTTGAGTCCCTGGCGGCATAGTGTGTTACTGATGGTAGGCTTTGTTTCTTTGGTCCCAGCTCTCTGCAGGTCATTCACTAGGTCCCCCCGTGTGGTTCTGGGATTTTTGCTCACCGTTCTTGTGATCATTTTGACCCCACGGGGTGAGATCTTGCGTGGAGCCCCAGATCGAGGGAGATTATCAGTGGTCTTGTATGTCTTCCATTTCCTAATAATTGCTCCCACAGTTGATTTCTTCAAACCAAGCTGCTTACCTATTGCAGATTCAGTCTTCCCAGCCTGTGCAGGTCTACAATTTTGTTTCTGGTGTCCTTTGACAGCTCTTTGGTCTTGGCCATACTGAAGTTTGGAGTGTGACTGTTTGAGGTTGTGGACAGGTGTCTTTTATACTGATAACAAGTTCAAACAGGTGCCATTAATACAGGTAACGAGTGTAGGACAGAGGATCCTCTTAAAGAAGAAGTTACAGGTCTGTGAGAGCCAGAAATCTTGCTTGTTTGTAGGTGACCAAATACTTATTTTCCACCATAATTTGCAAATAAATTCATTAAAAATCCTACAATGTGATTTTCTCGAAAAAAAAATCTCAATTTGTCTGTCATAGTTGACGTGTACCTATGATGAAAATTACAGGCCTCTCTCATCTTTTTAAGTGGGAGAACTTGCACAATTGGTGGCTGACTAAATACTTTTTTTCCCCACTGTATGTCTGGTGCCAACCTAACACCTCTCATCACCCCAAGAACACCAAACCCACAGTGAAGCATGGTGGGGGCAGCATCATGCTGTAGGGATGTTTTTCATCGGCAGGGACTGGGAAACTGGTCAGAATTGAAAGAATGATGGATGGCACTAAATACAGGGAACTTCTTGAGGGAAACCTGTTTCAGTCTTCCAGAGATTTGAGACTGGGACGGAGGTTCACCTTCCAGCAGGACAATGACCCTAAGCATACTGCTAAAGCAACACTCGAGTGGTTTAAGGGGAAACATTTAAATGTCTTGGAATGGCCTAGTCAAAGCCCAGACCTCAATCCAATTGAGAATCTGTGGTATGACTTAAAGATTGCTGTATACCAGCGGAACCCATCCAACTTGAAGGAGCTGGAGCAGTTATGCCTTGAAGAATGGGCAAAAATCCCAGTGGCTAGATGTGCCAAGCTTATAGAGGCATACCCCAAGAAACTTGCAGCTGTCATTGCTGCAAAAGGTGGCTCTACAAAGTATTGACTTTGGGGGGGGGGTGAATAGTTATGCACGCTCAAGTTCAGTTTTTTTGTCTTATTTCTTGTTTGTTTCACAATAAATAATATTTTGCATCTTCAAAGTGGTAGGCATGTTGTGTAAATCAGATGATACAAACCCACAAAAAATCAATTTTAATTCCAGGTTGTAAGGCAACAAAATAGGAAAAATGCCAAGGGGGGTGAATACTTTCGCAAGCCACTGAAAGAATACCATGCTATTGTTTAAGGAGAGTGCACAACACAAAAAATGTATCATGGCAACTGGTTTGATACATTCACATCTGAAGGTAAATAATGTACTTAAATTCAGTAATCTTGCTCTGATTTGTCATCCTAAAAATGTAGCATAGATTTGTTTGATAAAATCAATTTTTATATTAAAATGTAGGAACTGGGTTCTACAGTTTCAACCCCTGCTGTATCTGGCTCCACACCCACCCCACCCGGACATCTAGATGTGTGAAAGTTACTGTGTAAGCTAATGATCCATCATGTATGACATTCCTGGTAGTGTGTCAATTTACATGTTGTATTACCATATCATTTTTGTATGTTCTCTATAGTTATGTACTTGAAAATGTATCAATTGACCAATTAGGCACATTTGGGCAGACCTGATACAAAATAGTCCAGTATTGCAATGCTTCACTGGATCAATCTGAAACTTTGCACACACACTGCTGCCATCTAGTGGACAAAATCTAAATTGCGCCTAAACTGCAACATTATATTGTGGTCTTTCTCTTGCATTTAAAAAATGCTGATAAGAAAAAATATATATATATGCATGTTTTTTTGTTTGTATTATCTTTTACCAGATCTAATATGTTATATTCTCCTACATTAATTTCACATTTCCACAAACTTCAAAGTTTTTCCTTTCAAATGGTATCAAGAATATGCATATCCTTGCTTCAGGTCCTGAGCTACTGGCAGTTAGATTTGGGTATGTCATTTTAGGCAAAAATTGAAAAAAAGGGTCAGATCCTTAAGAGGTTAAAATACACCAGTTATGCTATTTTGGACCACCAGTCTGCGATGTCGTTTTTGTGTTCATACTTTTCCTAACGACAATGACAAGTTTGATGTCAGACGACAATAGAATGTTCATGATGTCACTACTACTAAAGACATGTCGATAGACGTAGTATAAACCAGCCT